TCCCTGTGTAATGCTGACAATGTGTGATTGTGAAATCCCTGTGTAATGCTGACAATATGGGTCGAAATCCACATGCCATGTCATCAAGACATCCTTTTTTTCCTTTAGTCAAATGCTTCATTCATGTCTATTGCTAGATCCTAACTCTTGAGATGCCACATGGTAGAAATCAGATGTGAGTTATATAGCTCAAATCTGTTGATGGTTTTATCTAAAATTATCTTTGTATTAATGATGTTGCATTTTTTTATAATTTATGTGGCGCGCTGCACTGAGACTCACTGACGGCTAAGACAAACTTCATATAGACACATTAATCCAATAGTCAGGCTTGAATAATTGAATAATTTTCCTTTTGTATTTCCTTATGTTAATGAACAGCTCAACGCTCCCTCTGATTCCGAATCTGATAGTGAAGATGTTGCTGAGCTCCTTGCCACTGTTGCATCTGTCAATGTTATTGAAGTTGCTGGTGATGCTATAAGTGAACACCTCTCAAAGATGAAACTTGATGATGACAACCTTTCAGTGAAGACTACCTCAAGTTGCTCAGCAGCAGAACAGCATCTAGTTGATTCAGTAAAAGTACAAAACAATGCATCTGTGGTGCTGACCAAAAGAATATCTGATTTATCTCTCGCTTGGCGATCAGATTTATCAAGAACTGATGTCTGGTATGCCAGTTTTGGTTCAAACATGTGGGGACCAAGATTTCTATGCTATGTTCAAGGAGGGAAGGTAAAGTTCAAGACTCAATGTTTTTTTCATGGAGCATTGGTTCCTTTATCAGTCTGGTCTGCTTGTTTGATGTCACAGCATTGGAGACCTTCGTGATTCTTTTAGGATATATGCCAATACTTGATGAATAAATTGGTTTCCAGTGTTCCTGTCAATATAGTCCTTGACGTTTTTATCTTATATAAGCAGTATGCTTTAAGAGATACTAAATTTGATATTCCTTTTGATCTGGGGCAGACTGAGGGTATGAGTATAGCGTGCTGCGGATCACGTGACACAAGCTCACCAAAAGGAACCATGTGGAAGACTGTACCTCACAGGTTGCTCTTTGGTAGATCGTCTACCCCTTGTTGGGGAACTGGTGGTGTTGCTTTTCTCAATCCTGAGATAAACTACAATGAGAAATCGTATATCTGCATGTACAAAATAACGTATGTTTGTTACATTGACACGTTATTGATCTTTCAATTTAGGCAGGGTGGCATTTTGTCATTCTTTTAGTACCTGGCATCTCATCTGATTTGCCTGTCTTCAACAGGTTGGAGCAGTTCAATGACATCTTGTTTCAGGAGAACCGTTTAGTGCTGGAGGATGGCAAAGACGGAAATGTTGTGTATCCTGACTCTCCTTTGATTGGTTCATCTGAAATCAAGTTTATATCTATAAACAAAGCTATTCATCTTGAACCTATTAAGGTTTGATTTGCTTGTCCCACTTCTGCAATTGTACCCTTCCCTTTGTACAGAATTTCTATATGCTTTTTAATGAGATTAAATAACACCGTACTAGTGCTGTTGAAAACAACACTGCTAAATGTATGACAGGCTAACGACTGCCGTTCTAAGAGCTTATTGATAGATGGCAAGCCATTTTCCCATAGCGATATATATCACTTTTACCTTGAGTGTTTCCTTTAAAGTTTTAGTTTGATTCCTGTAGGAACTGTTAATATTGATCTGTTTAGCAAGGAGCAGAACCGGCCTCTTTGAGTATTCAAGTTCATCTGGTCTTAGAAATGATTGTATGACCAGGTTGCCAGGGCGCCAAAATCTCTGTTGACATCATAAGCAACGTTCAAATGAAGCCTGATTTTAGTAAGCTAAAAACACAACAACAACAAAAAAAACAGTTTCATGTCATCAGTGGACTAATTTCAAACCCAGCCTTATCAGTGTAATTGTGACACCATGTTTAATTTTTGTTGTATTATCTATGTGGCATACTGAATTCAAAAGTTATGGAATACATCTATAATGTCTGCTGGATGAATTTCTTGCAGGATAGCTGGTACTCCAATGTACTTTATCTTGGGAATGAGGATGAACTTCCAATTCTAACTATGACGTGAGTTTCATTGTATTCATCAAGTCTTTCCCCCCAAAAAATCTCATTTCCAAATGGCAGTTGAATGTAACTTTTTGAAGGGCAGTCAAAATGTGTTTTCCCTGCAATGTGATTAAAATTTCCTCTGGTCTGTGCAGGTGCCCCGCATCAGATATTGAGAGGTTCAAATCTGGTGAGCTGCCTTTAGCACCTCCATCAGAGACATATGCGGCCACTCTGATAAGGGGACTAGTGGAAGGGAAGCAACTGGATGCGGACGGAGCTGCCAACTACATCAATGCTGCTGCTGCAAAAGGCCTGTGAAGGCTGCTTCAGCGTGTGCTTTGTACAGCCAGTAGGTAGTAGTAAGGATACACTATTTGGTAGCGTGAGGACACAGATTGATTGAGGACCAGGAGTGTTGGACAAGCTTCATTCTCCGCGAATGGAGAACTTGGATCCAATTTGAATTGGGCAGGATGATTCGAGCTTGCCCTAGCTTGATCATTGGTGAATGGTGATCTCCCCTGGTAGGTCAAGTCTGAGAGAAACACTAGCTGTGTCGGGGTGGAGCAACACTAGCAGGTGCTCTCACTGCACTAGTGTCGTTCTTGTCTTGGATGCCATGCCGGTGATGTTATTTTGTACTGTTACTGCCTTCTGTTAATGTGTTGCCTGGAGTTAGGGTGTGTTTGGGAGGGTTTCTCCTTTTTTTCACTGAAAAAATGACCGCAAATGGCTACTCCTAGCAAACCGTTTGGTACGTATGAGCCAGGGCTGGAGAGGAGCCCGAGCCCTACCAACGGGGCATATTGTTGTTTTGCTGCTACTGGTGGTGGGCAGCGCAATACCCACTCTCCGAGTGACGTAACTTCGTTATTTCATTTGCATGCGCTTCAACAATACAGATATTTTCCCCTATCTTTACAACATACATATTTCAAGTAATATCAGAAAGCAGTTTTCCTTGTTTCTTTCCCTAGTACAGTTATATTTCTGGCCACTTCAGTTGCCAATTGCATCCACGCCCTCCCCCACCGTGCCACGCCAAATCTCAACCTCTAGATATTAGCCATGTCGGTTAATCCTTCGCCCTGGTTAACAGGGTTTTAAGCGGCTTTGGCTTTGGCTCATCCACCTGAATCCTGGAAAGACGTAGCAATACAGTACATTTTTGCCAGATTCTGTAGGGAAACCTTTTTTTTTTGCAAAAAATACGAATTTATATAAGTAATATGAAAGTAAAAAAAAACGCCTGGTGCTTGACTATGGGCCTATGGCCTTGTTGCCCGGCTGGCTCGAGAGGTCCTTGCTGTTTGAGAATTATTATTAATAATCAATTAGGGAATAATCCTAAAGGATATCTTTTTACCCCTCTCTCTTTCAGAGTCTACCATACTCTAGATTTCTTATGTGTTGAGTGCATTGGTATGAATTTATTTTGAGATTTGCAAGTATCGGGGGAGAGTCTCTCTAATTAATAACTTGTTGCAAACATCATATTGCACTATTTTCTTTTATGAGTTTTCCTTGGGGTTTCTCATATAAAGTTTTTAAGAGGCAATATCATCACAAGGTTATGTCAATCATCCATTTTTCCCACGGGGGTTTTTGGTGGACAATATTGAGACATGATATGCATTGTGCTCTTTTGTTTATGTGAGTTTTCCGTTTGAGGTTTCTCATATAAAATTTTTGATGAAGCAATGTTAATGTAAAGTTATATGCTTATCATCTATTTTTCCCCACCAGGGTTTTTTGAATATGTTTTTAGACTAAGGCTTTGAGTTTATCTTAAAGAGTCTAATAACACCAGTGATTGTATATCATGGTGTTTCTCCTTATTTTTCCCACCATGTTTTAAGAAGTTTTTCCTGGTATACCGGTATTACTTTGTTTTTTCCCACAGAGTTTCCCAAAGATTCATAATGATGCATAATAGATGAACAGTGAAGACTACAATGAGTTAATTGATCAAGGGGAGTATTGAGAATTATTATTAATGATCAATTAGAAAATAATCCCAAAGGGTGTCTTTTTACCTCCTCTCTCTCTCTCTCTCTCTCTCTCTCTATATATATATATATATATATATATATATATATATATATATATATATAACTACCATGTAGTTGGCTACAAAATAACTTATAATAACTTCTTACTAAGTGGTTTACTATAACGTTATGGTAGATATCCCCATATATTATAGTAACCCAGCTATCGTAAATATGTATTGACATTATCGTAAATTAGTATATAAAATTATCGTAAATGGAGGTGCTACAGAATAACTTATTTTATAGCTGGCTACTGAATATACTCTCCATATATATAGGGTAAGGCTATTCTGCAGCTGGCCATAGAATAACTTATTCTATAGCCACCTTGATTTACGATAATGTTTGTACCAATTTACGATAACATAAATATGCATTTACGATACTCGTGTTACTACAATTCACGGTGATATTTATCATAATGTAAGGAGGTACTGTAGTCTTGTAAATTAGCATAGTAACCATCGTAAATCAAAGTGGCCACATAATAGTATGTATATATATATATATATATATATATATATATATATATATATATATATATATATATATATATAAAAAACACTCAGAACTGACGGAGAATCATTTGCATCGCTCGCTTTCTTTCGCTCTCCACGTTTAACACACCTGTCCTGGTGGAGGTGGACTGGACTGCTGGAGTGACGTGGATGGTTGAGGTCCAAGTCCAACCAAGGCTGCCCCTGTTATCTTGTCGCCAAAGATACTTGAGCAGCTGAGCTCTGATCTGTTTAACTGTGTTGCAAAGGAAGAAGGGCGCTGCCAAGCAGCCATGGCTTCCAATGAGCAGCAGCCAATCCATATTCTCTTCTTCCCGTATATTGCTCCTGGCCACCTCATACGGTCATACCGGTCGCGGCCATGGCCGCCCTCTTTGCTTCACGTGGCATCAAGTGCACCATACTCACCACTCCCGTAAACACCACCGTTCTCCGCTCGGCCGTTGACCAGGCCAACAACGCCTTCCGCGGCACCGACGCCCTGGCGATCCACATCTCCACCATCCCATTCCCTGATGTCGGACTCCCGCCGGGCGTCGAGACCGTTGTAGGCATCTCCTCAGAGGCCGACCTCCACAAGTTGCTGGAAGCGGTCCAGCGGCTCCACGCGAGCCCTTGGATCGGTTCCTGGCCGAGCACCACCCCGTCCCCGACGCCGTCGTGGTCGACAGCTTCTACCTGTGGGCCGCGGACGTCGCCGCCGAGCACGGCATCCCACGGTTGTCTTTCCTTGGGAGCAGCCTGTTCGCCCGGGCCTGTAACGACTCCCTGCTGCGCAACAACCCGTTCGCGCTCGCTCCAGATGACCCCGACGCCGTCGTGTCCCTGCCGGAGCTGCCGCACCGCGTCGCGCTGAGGCGCAGCCAGGTGATGGACCCAAGAAAGGGTCAGTGGAAGTGGGACTACGGACCGGAGGAGCTACGGCGAGGTGTTCAACAGCTTTGCCGAGCTGGAGCCGGACTACGTCGAGTACTACCGCACGGCGCTCGGCCGCCGTGTGTGGCTGGTGGGCCCGGTCGCCCACGCCAACGCCGCCAGCGAGGACATGGACATGGCGCCCGGGGCGGACAGGTGCCTGCGGTGGCTCGACGAGAAGCCACGCGGCTCAGTTGTGTACCTCGCATTCGGCACACTAGCCAATTTCTCGGCGGCGGAGCTGCGGGAGGTGGCGCGCGGCCTACAGCTGTCCGGCAAGAATTTTCTGTGGGTCATGAAGAGTGGAGGAGCGGACACGACGGAGGATGCATCGGAATAGATGCCCGAAGGCTTCGCCGAGCTGATTGATGTCGGAGCACGCGGCCTCATCTTCCGGGGTTGGGCTCCGCAGAGGCTCATCCTCAAGCACTCCGCTGTCGGTGGGTTCGTGACGCACTGTGGATGGAACTCGGTGCTGGAGGCCGTCAGCGCTGGGGTGCCGCTGGTGACGTGGCCTCGGCACGCTACAACGAGAAGCTCGTCGTCGAGGTGCTCAAGATGGGGGTCGGTGTCGGTGCCGGCGACTATGCCTCCCACCTTGAGGTCCGCCGCGAGGTGATCAGCGGTGAGAAGATCGCGGAAGGCATTGACGGAGTGATGGGTGGGAACGAAGAGGCCGAGGCGATAAGGAAAAGGCTATGGAGCTCCGTCGGAAGGCATTGACGGAAGTTCAGCCCGTTCGGGAGACCGTATCGTATCGTGGATTATTTACTGCTGGCTGGTTTGGTGTGAGAGAAAAATACTGTTCTCAGCTAAAAATTTACGATCGTTTACGAGCAAGCGGACAGGCTGAAGGGCGGCACTTCGTATGACGATGTCGGAAAGCTCATCCACGAGTTGATTGTTTGCCGGAGATCTTTCCAAAAGTCATTTAGTCCGTCCGTCCCAAATAGAAGTCGCTATGGAATACATGTAGATTAAATTTTTTAACTTTAACTATATTTGTAGAAAATACGTACAATATTTATATCTACAAATAAGTTTATTATAAAAATATATTTAACGATCTATCTAATGATACTAATTATGTATTATAAATATTAATAATTATATATATATATATATATATTGTCAAAGTGAAAAGTGTTTGACTTTTCGGGAAGTGAGAATGACATCTATTTTGGGACGGAATGAGTACATACCAATTAGTGAATATATTAGTTTTTTATGAGCAATTTATATATAAACAAAGGTTTTGGCTCTGTTAAATTTGATACATAAGGCGGTTGAAGCTGTTTTGTTATGAGAGAAAAATATTATAGATTTTAGCTGATAAGTCGGCTGATAAGTTCCAGCAATTACCAGAGCATAGCGATGGAGCAAAAAAGATGTTGGCTTGAAACAAAAGGCAAAGGCCTCGGGAGGGAGAACCAGCGGATAAAAGTAAAGGATGAAAAGCATGTTCGACTGATATTAAAGTCGGCTGAAACTGTTTTGTTGTGAGAGAAAAATACTATAGATTATATCCGATAAGCCAAGATAAGTTTAAACGAACAAGCCATGCGAGGCGAATGATATGGGAAAGACAGCTAGCGTTGTGGGGTTTGACAATCTTGATGTATCGTAGTCTACGTGGAGAGACTCTTTTTACTGAGACCACTACACCAAACAGCCGGCGTTGATCAGGCTCTTAGGGACCTGGATGGAGTAGGAGCTAAGAGCATCAACAGTGGTGAGTCGATGCATCTTGAAACAAAGATCAGTTACGTCAGGAACTGGATGAGTCGATTTCTACCCTAAACTGAGCCATGTGGGTCCCATTATAAATAAACAAAACAATGACTGGGTGATGTCCGCAGTTGTTCCTTCCCATTTTTTTAGAGTTTATTTAAGAGCATCACTCCGGCCATTGCATTAGCAAAGACCATAAAACGTGTGTACAGCACAGATGGAACCCAAAATCTTAGGGAATGTTTGATTCACTCCAAACCAACATCGAACGTCCACCAGCTTAAATATGAGCTAATTAAAAACTAATTACACAAATAATAGACTAATTTACCATTGCCCAATTAAATCATTCACTTTCCACCATCGTCAAATCATGGATTAACTAGGCTAGCGGTTCGTCTGCTTAGTCCTTTTTAATTTTTTTAATCGTATTTACTCATGCATCTAAATATTTGATGAATCGATTTATCTCCAAACACCCCTAAAACACTCGGAAACTCCACCAGCTAAGCAACTGTTCCTTCCCATTGCCCAATAAAAATTCACTTTCCTCGTCTCACAAGCCAGGCTAGCGGTCCTGCTTCCCTTTTTTAATCAGCGTGTCGACAAACGAATCGATTTATTCCCTCTCATCGGATGAGTCGTCTGCTCCAGCAGTGATGGGTCGGTTATCGCCCTGTTTGCTTGAGTCGTCTGCTCCAGCAGTGATGGGTCGGTTATCGCTTGAGTTTGTTGGAAATGACTTGAAAGTATCGTTGGTTGATTTGTTATGAGAGAAAAATATTGTTCGTTGGTTGAAAAAAATACGGTTTATAAGTCAAACAAGTCTAAACAAATATGATTAATTGGGCTTAATGGTTAATTGGGCTCTTGGATCTGCGTCCTGATCAGGGGCAGCCAACCGCTTCATAGTTGTTGGGCCCCTATCGCATAGCGCCATAAAAAGAGAGGTGGGGCGAGGCATAAGGCACGAGAATCACCTGAGCCGCCAGACGCCCCACCTACAGCCCCTAAACCCTAAACCGATCTAGTGAGGGGGCGTTGCCAGCGAGGGGAAGACCGCCACCGGCCACCGCCGCCACTGTGTCCGCGACTTCACCGTCGGACCTCACCGCGTCACCGACAAGGACGCCATGGCAAGCTCGTCTTCTACGAAGGCAGCCGATGGCTTGCACCTCCGCAACTCTCTCTCTCTCACTCTATCTATAAATCATGTACTAGTTCATGTTTTAGAACTTGATATTTATTCCAAATATCAATACATATACTAGATCTATATAGATCCTGTAAATTCTGTGGGTCCACCACCGGAGAAGCCCTAAAGGCGCCTGACGCCTGCAAAGACATAGCAAGACAGTACATTTTTACGAAAAAGAAATTAATCAAGTAATATGAAAGTTAAAAAAAATCGTCTGGTGCTGGACTATGGGCTTGTTGACTTTTTTTTTTCTCAATCACGCAAAAGATTTACGTGTTTTTGTATTAAGTAGAAGAATAGTTTGTTACATCTCGGGTGGTTTACAAGATTAACACTGAGCGCACCCACCCTGCTCAGCTTCTTCTCTAACCTATTACTCGCTAAATTAAACAACCTAGGTGCTTCGCACCGGCCTGGACCCATAGCTCTGCCTGAAGTTTGATGGTTGCCTTGATCGCTGGAATCTGTGTGGCTGCTCCGCGAAACAACGCGCATTACGTTCTTTCTAGATTTCCCAAGCGATTAGCGCGAACATGGAGTTTGCGCCTCTTGCAAATGACGCTGGACAAAGAGCTCGGCTTGTTGACTTGTTGCCCGACTGGCTCGAGAGGTGCTTTGCTTTGGTGGGTGCTTTGCCGCGGCTCCGCTTGTCGCACCGACGCTCGCAACTCGACTAGAGAGTGGCATGGATGGTTGAGGTCCAACCGTCCAAGGCTGCCCCACGTCTCCACCAGACCACCACCAGCTTTATTAGGCGTGATTCGGCATTTCAGCTAGCATGTTTGTCTATCCTATCCGGCTATCCTCCACCCCACCTGCAACTCTGCAAGATATTTGCGCCGCGTAGCGTAGGAGCACGAGTACTCCTACTTCTTTGCTTGCAATTCAAACCAGACCAAACGCCCGCTCCAACCCAACGCCCATTACTTTTTTCGCCGCATTTATTAAGCGCGCCTGCGCCAACCGCACTGCCGAAAGCTTCGGGCCACCTCGCACTCGCGCGCGCCTCAAAGATGCACAGGCAGCTCAGCCTCTCCGCCAGCCCCAAGCAGCAGCAGCAGCAACCTCCGGACGGCACCGGCGACGCGGCGCAGGCGATGGCGGTGGCGGAGGACGAGTCGTCGGCCTCGCACTCGCACTCCAAGGCCAGCAGGGGGTGGTCGGCGACGGCGAGGGACGAGAGGGCCATCCACCTCATCCCGCTGCTCACCTTCCTCTGCTTCCTCCTGCTTTTCCTCTGCTCCCACGACCCGTCCGCTGCCGGTACGTACGTTCCTCTCCTCCGGTATGTGATGGTATCAATGTGTGGACCGTTTGTCATTTTGCCTCCTGTTGCTGTTTTCTAGACATGTCGAGCTTCGCTGGAGGTGGCGGCGGCGGCGGTGGCGGTGCGAGATCTGGGAACCGGAGGTTAAGGATGTTTTAGACTGCTTTAGCCATTGGAGTATTATCCGATGCGCATGTTGTACTTCACTACTTGTCCAGAAGTAACCAAGTATGGGACCAAAGTATGCCACCATACAAAAACAGAATGTTGTTGCTTTGCTTTGGTAGTACTCGTTAGCATTTTCTTGATCATTTGAGTTGGATTCTCAAACAAAATACTCCAACGGAGGAATGGATAAAAAACACTTCACCGAACACGACATGAAGAGATGGCAAGGAGCCCTGGGGACAAATATGCTGAACCATGTGATGTGATGACGCTCGCGCATGGCATAACTATGCTGTCTGAGTTTTGGAAGGTCCTGCTTGGACTGTGTGATGGCCCAACAAACCTGGCCTTATCCACACTCCACACGTCTAAGCAGTGCATGGCAATGGCATTCCAAAATTCAAAACCAAATAATTCCAGCTGAGACATGGTCTCAACACAAAATGCCTTTGTAGTAAGAGCCAAATGAGCGTATATAAGGACACCACATTCTGTTCTGTGTTTCATAAAAAGAAAAAGGAAAGGACAGCCCCATAACAAAGGTTGAAATAAACAGCTGCGGGAACAGTTATAGCTCTCAGATACTAAGTCTGAGCAAATCCTGACAATGAAAAGGAATTGCATAAGACATTTTGGGTTGCAGCATCATCGAAGAACCTGTTTGGCTGAACACATTTCAGCTTGTTTCAGCTTATTCTCTCTCACAGAACACTATTGAATCAGCCGAAATCAGCTGAAAGTGTATCAGCCGAACAGGGTGTTTAACATTGTTACTACAGGATTTAGACTCATTAGTACGGTCAACTCACCGCAATCTGGAACTGCAGCTCTGAGAAGACACAGTGCAGAGTTCACAACTGTGAGAATGTCTAGATAAAACCATGAATAGATATTTTATGATATTGATACCATCAATCATTGCAAGAAATGATCAATAAGATCAATTGGGGAAAACAGGGCTAGAAATCTTGACGAAGAAATAACTGGATACTGGAGGAATGTGAATTTCTTGAGTACAAGCATGGTGTGCCCATCTTTTACCAAATACTCAAGCAGATAAGACAGACTACCCCTACAATCCAATTTCTAGACTAGTCCCTACTATGAAATTATTAAAGATAAAGGCATCTATTGTATCACATGCAGACATGTTTTGAGCAGAGTCATAACAGAGTACAGCAGACTGTATCCATCAAATACAGAATAATTGGCAAAACAGCATGAGCGTAAATTTTAAGCGTTGTGTAAAATTAAGCAGTACATAAATACCTGTGAAAACTGAGACACAAAACAAGTACCTCAAGTTCCATTTGCTTCTCCCAACTTGTTCATTAGGAAAAGATGAAAACGCACTACCATATATATCACATTCATACTCAACAGAGTCCATATTGCCTAAAGCTATTTCATGCCAAAACTCTTCTTCCATATACCTTGATGGAAGACAAGCAATAAAAATTGCATGTCATGAAAAGTGTAATTTTTATTCACCATCTTACTGAACTTCCAAAATCTGTACTTTCTAATAGTTTATACTGACATGCTATGCAGTACAAACAATAAAAATTGTATACCATGCACTTCCACTCATGAAGAAGGCAAACCTGTCATCCTTGGACTATTCAGCAAAACAGGAGGCTGAACTCTGACTGTAAACTTAAACACACCTAGTTCATTAGTACAGTGCCAGCAGGTACCCAAGCAGAGACAGGTGAAATATGATCTTGCATATACCTGGCATAGTTTTTAAGGCGGTAAGGCGAGGTGCGGCGCTCCACCCCCTTCCAGATGCCTAGGCGAATTAGGCGTGCGGCGAGGCGACGCCATACCCATACTATTGTTCACAATTTAAGCCTCAGAGGCACATATAACAATGACACAGATCAATAAATTAACCTCTCTTATGCAGCAAAGTTCAGACGTCAGAGAGACAAACAGTCAAGCATATATTAATTATTCACAGCAATTAGGCAACCACATCATAAGAGCACACCTGTGAGCTATCCATTCCAACTATCAAACTGTAACACATAAATAGGAGAAACGAGCAGAGCAGAGAAAGCAAAGTAGAGCACAGGAAGGAGCAGAGCATGGGAACGAGGCGGAGGAAGAGCAGAGGAAGAAGGGGGAGGAAGAGCAGAGGAAGAAGGGAGGAGCAAGAGGAGAGCCGCAGAGCAGCAGAGGAAAGAGGAGGGGAGGACGTAACTGCCAATCGCGCGGTCGCAGAGCAAAGTCGCGGTTGGGGACGGGGCCGAGTCGGTCGCGGCGGACAGAGTGGGAGTCGGTCGCAGACAGGGCTGGAGTCGCGGACGGGACGGAGTCGCGCTCGCACAGGAGGGTCGCGGACAGGCCGGACTCGGGCGGGGGTAGTCGCCTGTGCCGCGCCGGCGCCGGATTCCAGGTGCGCCGCCGCCCTCCTCTCTCTTCCTCTCTCCTTCCTTTCCCTCTCCCTCTCCCTCTCTCAACTGACGCGATGGGGATTGGGTTGGCAGGAGGTGTAGGCACGCAGCTGCTTCTTTTCCCACGCGCGCGCATCGCTTCGCTCTTTTCCTGCGCGAGCACGCGGCGCTACTCTTTCCCGCGTGCTTTTCCGTCCAGCGGCGTCCGCCTCAGCGAAATCGACGCCTAGGCGACACCTTCAGCCGCGAGGCGACGCCATATGCGATGAGGGAGCGGCGACCGCGACGCCCCGTTTGGAATCCTGCTCGGACGACTAGGCGACGCCTAGTCGTCGCCTAGGCGATGCCTTAAAAACTATGATACCTGGGTTATTGCACTTGCACATGGCCAAAATATGAGAATAACATAACATTCACAAAAACCTACTTAAAGGTTCAAAACCAGAGTTATGAACAATTCAACACATGGGCTGTGGCTCACCATTTTTTCCAGCATGCACATAAAACTCAAAATATCATTACAGCAGATCGGTGTTGAGTATGAACACATACTACAGCAACCCTAAGAGCTGTATGATTCAGCTCTGAGCTGTTTCATGAGCAAAATTATGGGGCACACATCTCAGAAAGACCGCTAGCGGAAATTGATTTTGATATGCCATAACTTGTGAGGTGGCATCACTTAGGTATCTAAACTTAAACTATTTTGGCAGGTCCCTCCTAGGCTTAGAACAATCTGCAACTTGAGACAATTTAGTAGTTTGAGGATGAAAGTAGCATAATGCAAGTATAGCAACTTTTATTGCTAATTTCTTCATTTTGTTTTCGTGCAACTACATCTGTCAACCATCATTATCATCCCTTGACCTTGTTACCTAGAAGAATATAATCAACAGAGGATACAGAGACACAACTATTAGCATATTTTGCAGCCATAGGGGCAACTTTGCTGAGATAAACTATGGGATCCTCAAACTCCTGGTTGATGGAGAAAATATGTGACAATCCAGAATCTAATCAATCCAATCTAGGCTTTGTATCTCATTGACACTCCCTCTCTCAGTGATGCATCACAACTGTTGTGCAACCTTTCCCCACATGACACAGATTTCAGAGTATCTCTGTGTACACACTTCATTACTAAATTATAGCTAGAAATGGAATTTAGAAGTGGCATATTGGAGTGGAAGATGTCAACCTAGAGTGAAGGGGGCAGAGCTTAAAAAGTTTGTCTCTGCTCTTGTAAAATATTATAACCCAAACAGCAGAGTCTGCTCGTACAATTGTAAATAATTAATTCATGAACATCCATCAGTTGTGTTGCTTTTCCACACGTCTATATGCCTGAAGGTCACAGCTGAATTCTACAAAAAGGTGAGCAGTCACTAAATTTGTTCACACCATAAAAGCCAATGTAGCCATGCAGGTGGCAAATACCCAGAATCCAACAGCTCTTGTGCTGTCTCAACCACAAAACATAGGGAAAAGTTCAAGACAACAAGTCAAATCCATCCGTATAGTTCAAATTTCATCTCAAATCACTCCCAGATCAGTTCACATAAATAAATGAGTTCATATTAAGCACATAGAGTCATAGCCCGTGAATTCACATCATATGAAACCTATCAAACATAGTATAGCAAAAACATGGCAGAAGCAGAAAATAGCCACTGAAGTGGTCAAATCTTTTCCAGAAATTGGTCGAATCTGTAGAACAGTTTGAATTTAGAAACATCTCAAAACTAACCATGAAACTAAAACGTTTACCATGTCAAGCTCAGTTCTACATACAATACATAAAGAGAGGATTTGCCATCTGAAGCAAATTTGTCGCCTAGAAACGAACAGGAGAACAAATAGTAAGAGAATTACATGACACCATGTGAAACTACTCCGTACGAGCTAAGCGCTACAGTACACATGGAATCAGGCACAGGCAGGAACACGCTAAATTAGCGAGCGCTCAAACATGCAGGGACTGCTGCCCAGTGTACCAAACAGTCCAGCAAACCATAATTTGCAACTAAAACATAAAAGTCAAGAAAGGGATAGAATGGATTCCAAGCCAGTTATGACCTTCTGCAGAAGGATACTTATCAAGTTATGATCCAAACCAGTTATGTTGGCACAGCACATTTGAAATACAGTCGATGGCAAAATATAAACATTAGTGCAAACGTCAATGATGTAATGCACCAGTCATTCAGGTAACCCAAAAGCATGCTATTAATACCAACTCCGGAGTGCCACAATTTACTGATTCCAGCAGAACACCTTCAAAACCACGCATCCCCTAACTCAAATTTAAGAAGACAAGCAGCAGCTTTTCAATGACTCAAGATGCAGTTCATTCATACTGAAACCTCTTTCTTTTAATTAGCAAGTAGCCAAGTATACAGTATATAGTATATGGATAGTAGCTTACTAGAACAGACGATCCTAATTTAGCCATTCATCGGCAGGCATCGGAACCAAATCTTACAAGATAGATTCCTCGTTCCTCTCTACGGGACGCGGCCACGGTTGAGCAGTCCAAGCGTGTGTCGCGCAGCCTCGACGAGGTCACGGATGTTGTGGAGCGACCTCTCCTCGGCGCCGAAGATGAAGATGGCCCGGCACTCCGCCTTCTTGGCCAGCCGCGCCGCGTGCCCCAGCGGTAGCTCCGGCGAGTTGAGCGCCCGCAGGATCTGCCGGTACAGCGACAGAACCACCGGCCTGTTCCGCGCCAGATCCTCCGCCGTGGCCCAGATCAGCCCGCTGCCACCGCCGCCCTTCGCCATTCTTCCGGCGCCGTGGTCACCTCGTCGCACCGCCAACGGGAGCGAGAGGGTTTGCGTAATTGGGTTGAGCGGTGAGCCCAATCACCAGACTTGTTGTGGCAGGCCGCCAGCTGCACGGTTCAGCAGCATGCAGACCTGGGCCCAGGCCAAGATTTCATCTCGGGCGCTGACTTATCCCGCAGGCCCACTCAAGGCCACGAGCTCTTTGCGCCGTCCGATTGCAACAGACGGCTGCCGCCCGTGGTCCAGCAGAGGCTTCACGAGAACAACAGAGAGCAGTTGTCGCCGCGAGTTGCATCAAAAGCCATAGTTGACAAGAAAGAGGAGACACTCAGAAACTGAGGTTTACGAGTAGATTTCTTATTTGGCGTAGTGCTGATACCTTCTGTCAATAAATTGTTATCCATGAAAACTAAGAGGTATGTATAATCTGGTTGTTGCTCAACTGTTCACCATGCTATGCTCTAGCATATGAAAAGTGCAAGTTTCCCATGCACGTAGTCAAGCATGTTATATTGAGAATGTGCCTACATAATGGACACTATTGGAATTTGGAAGTAGTACGAGCTAGCATTGAAATTAGTTGGTAAGTCATATGCTCAAGAATTCTGTTCAATGCCAACAAGATAACAAATTGTGTTGAAGTCAGTAGGTTTTATTTGGCCTATATTCAGTTCCAGGCTTCTTGGTTGATGCTAGCACCAGTAGTTTTGGATTACATGGAGTCTGGATGAAGGCATAGGTGATAGTGAGCTGCCTTTTAGTAGGTTCATTGGTTCGGTCAGTTGGAAATATTTCACCCGATTCACGGCAACAAATCATATAACTTGCCACTGGTTTTGGTTATACGTATGCTGAAAATCTCATTAGACTTAAAATGGAGAAGCTGGAGTTGTTAGGTCAGACACCCCTCTTACTCTGGCGTTTTTACTCTGAGGAGCCAAAGCTCCATAGACCCACCACCTTCTGTATGTTATAGGTGTTAAAGGCCAAACCCGTCTTCAAGCACTGGAAGCATGCTTACTTTTTTAAGAAAGCGATCTTTCATCATAATTTGAAGACATTTAGTTATTTAATCATCCACTGAATGCTGACATTTTTTTCTTCCTATCTAATAATTGGTATTTATTAGCATCGGCTTTGCTTTGTATATGTGGACATTGACCAGCAGAACTGATCTTGTTAAGTTAAACTGGATTTTTTTGGTACTCTATTCAAAGCATTGCTTCATAATATTACATTCACTGCTTGTATTTTTTTCCTGGCAGATCAACCAAGCTGATTTCGAGTTGGTGAAAGTTATGCAAGAAAAGAAAAGGCTATCAGCCAAAATTGTCCATTCCCCTAGGCTGTATGTTTGTTTGTTTTAAACTGCTACAGGCATAAAGTTCATTAGGAATTGAATGTGTTGGAATGCATAAGCTAAAAAAACTGAAAGCCATTCATACAAGCAACGCCACAGGTTCTAGAATTACTTTCCATAGTAGAACAGGAAGCCATAGTTTTCCTAACTGTCTTACTCAATGCAACTAGGACTAGCAAATATGCTGCCATCCTTTCAACTGTCGGAATGACTTTTATCTCTTCACGGTTCACCATAACTATGACTGAATTATTCATTCTAACAACAACAACACCAACAAGCCTTTTAGTCCTAAGCTCTTATGAAGATGAAACCCAAAAGAATTATTCATTCTAATAAATCATTGCAATTGTCACAGGTGCTCTATTTAAGATTGCATTCCTTTTAAAAAGTGTTCATTTTCCCCAGAATCATTAGTCACTTCTTTATGTGCTATGAGTGTATTTTTTTTATGTGCGTACATTGTCAAATTGCTTGGATCAGAATTATGAGCTTCAATCAGATAATCAACTTGTGCTAGTTTCCGTAATAACTATGGATTTTATTTTCTATAGCAAAGAGGAACCTTGAGGAGAAGAAAGCAGTCCGTGATGAGTTAAAGAACTGAGAGAAGATGGCAAATCATAAAGTCCAAGAGAAAACCAATACTCTTGAGACGTATACTAAGGTACTCTTTATGATGCGCTCTTCCTGATGCTGATTGGTGCAACAATTTCACACTTGTTGCTATAAATTTCTTGTAAACAATACAGATCATGTGCTCACGAACAGTGTTTTCTTTCTGGTAATCTCGAGTTCCTATTTAGTTCTCCCCACAGCCTCGGATCATTTTCTTACTGCAGCTAATGGGCAATTGCTCAAATGATCAAATCACAAGAACCATTTGACATTTATTATTGATTCTTGTGAGGCCTGACCTTTCTTATTCCTGTATACTCCATCAGGCCCGTACCTACGATTTGGAGGTACCTGAACGAAACACGTGATGTGGCCCTAAAATTTATAAGAAAATAATATAACAAAAGCATACTTTTACTTCATTATAAAGCTTCAAATATACATTGTTCTTACGGTACTTAGAACATATCAAATCTTGATGCTAAAACAATACAAAAAGTACTTAAACAACAAACTGACCTTATGTTCTACTGAAAAGCATCATTCTCTTAGTATTCTTTGAAATGAAATCTTCAATTATATCTTCATACTTGATCATCTCCAAGATATCATTTGCAAGTGCTATTGTTGCCAACCCATTGAGTCTTTCTTGTGTCATTGTACATCGCAAGTAGGACTTCAATAACTTGAGTTTAGAAAAGCTCCTTTCCGCAGATGCAACAGTAACAGGAATGGTTAACAAAATTCTATATGCAATAATGGCGTTTGGGAAAGAACCATGCAGTTTCAAATATTTCAGAATATCAAGAGGGCCCATAGATCTGTCAATATGATCTTGGATGAACTTTAACTCCACGTGTAATCTCTTCCATCAATATCTGAACGTTCACTCTTAAGTTTCACTTCTAGATTGACACAAGAAGAAAGCAATTTTCTATCATCCAAGAACTTAGTGTATTGTGTAAATTTGGAGGCCCTGTAATTTTGGAGGCCCTGAACAGTCGCACACTTTGCACCTGCTAATGTACGGGCCTGACTCCATTTATGTAGTTGCATGATAAGCATCTTTATTTTGCAGGTTTCTGAGAAACTAGCGAAGCATCTCTCTAAAATTTCTGCTGTACATGAAAAGGTATGATTAGCAGCAAACTTTCCTGCATGCAAGATTTTTTTTCCTTTGGCTGATTGCACGCTTGAGTCAAATTAGTATAACAATGACTGTACAAATATATTATTCATGCTAGACTGCTGGTGCTAAAGCTTCTGATAAGGATGTTAAAGCACACAAAGAGAAGACTAGTGATCAAAATTTGGAGGTTAGTATCTTATCATTGCTGCTGAATGGCAATTGAAAGGTTAGTATCTTAGCATTGCTCAAGTATTATCAAGTCAGTTCTTAGTTCAAATGTTATCACCACATTACTGTGCATGAACATCTTGCAATTAGTACTTGAGAACGAGGCCAATCTGAACGCAAAGGAGAAAGAAAGGGATCAAAGAGTTGGAGAGAACAATCGGAAGATGACTGCATTGAAATCTGAAGTTGAATCGGAGCACAAGTGCCTTGAGGAGAAACAAACAAAAATAAAGGAAAAGATTGAAAAAGGTTGTTCTTATCCATGTTCTGCTGTTGAAATTAGAATCATTTTCGAAATTCCACAGCATGAGACATTGCGTTTATTGCTTTACATGTTACCTTTGAATTTGATCCATACGTTCGAGCCTGATTAGTAGCTGTGCGCTCTATAAATCTAGAAGGGAAAACATAGGCTATGCATCCATTACTTCATTTTCAAAGCCTGTACGCTGTTGTCATCTTTTTTATTTATTGTGCGTACCTCTTTCACAATTTCAGGCAGTACGTCCTAGCTAGAAGGCTATTTGATTTCCTAAAAGGATACTAGTCCATAAAGAACATGGCTATTTGATTTCCTAAAAGGATACTGGTCCATAAAGAACATTGGTTTCCTTGAGGTTGTTTGCTGATTAACAACCTTTTTCTCCAGGCTAACATGTACATGGATGGCGTCGATCATTCCTTCAAAGAGACTGATGAAGCTGCAGTGATTTTGAACACTAGGCCAGAGTGGCGCTTGATGTGTGAAGTGACCATCGGGCAATGGATCGTGGACAATTAGCATAGTAATAATCGTGCTAATGTCCCGCTTTGTGTATGTATACCTCCACTGGATCGTGTGTGGTCACTTTTGCATCTCGTTTCATGTTGCTCTGTTCGTGTGTGGTCAGTCAAACGCCTCTGTATATGTTTTTTGCACCGCTATTTTAATTTAATCAGTTTGCACAGACGAGGGTAAGACTTGCCACTAACACCCTTTCCCAAACCCCGCACAGAGCGGGAGTTCTCTGCACTGGATAAGCCCTTTTTTATTTTAATTTAATTAGTACTAAATTAGCAGTGAAAATGGATATGTTAACCAGTGATGAGGTCTGGATTTGCTTGGTTGCAATTCCAAGTCGTGGAGGACAAATCTAAAACACCACAAGTACTAGTCTCGGCAATGGGCAGGCTCAACTTTAGTCACCTAATCGAGCCAAGAGTGCCTAGTTTGCATCTACTGTATTTGTATAAATGGAGGTTAGATTCTGACTTTATTTTTTTAGCTTTGCAAGAATTTTTTTATATAATTCTCTAAATTGCACTGGTATCTCTTGTGAGGAATACATATTTATTTTATAGGATCTAATTTAATGAAAAAAAATGTTTGGTCAATAAATCAGAAGTCATCACCTCACACTCACACTCATACTAGACAGGGCAAAGAAGCTCGATGAATATATGGCGCCCTGTAAGGGACTAGTTCTTCGGGCGCGCCCATGCGCGTGGGCCACTGGCCACACGTATTTTTTGGGAAAAAAAAGATATAATCAAGGGGGGCCTGTATTTTGATTTGAGAAAAATCTGAGGATGTTTTTGAAAAAATCGCTGAGAGTGTCTCTGGAGTGCGGGTTGATTTTTGATAAAAGGAAGGGTTTTTTTGCAAAAAATCCGGAGCTCATCCGTTCTGGACTGCGGGTTGATTTGAAAATTATCTGAGGTGTTATTTGCAAAATATTCTGAGATGGCCTCTGGAGCGCGGGTTGATTTCCCAAAAACATAAGGGGTTTTTCGTAAAATGACCGCGCCTCGCCCGATCTGGGCCGTCGATGCGGCCGATCGAACGGCCGGGAACGGCCGGCGACGTGGCGCGCCGTGTGGGCAGCCTGGCCACACGCTTTCTTGTCTTTAGATTGGACTCACCCAGCAATCCAGCATTGAACTAAACAGCAAAAAGAGGCAAAAATTGAAGGAAAAAATAACGTTGCCACAGCCCTATGCTCACGATGAACTGAACGTTAAAAAAGTGGCTGAAACACAAAAGCTCACGAAGTCATAATGGATTGAGCGGTAAAATGATGGTAAAAATACAAAAGCTCACGAAGTCACAATTTATTGAGCAGCAGAAAAAAAAGGCAAAATAAAGAAACAGCTACATGAAATCAGGTGCAAAAAAGGGCTAAAATTAAAATGGGGGAAAAGCCAAAAATAAATTTGCAAAAATATAAGAAAGCAGCTACATGAACTGAGGGGCAAAGGCAAAAGGAAGGCAAATATAAAAATGAAATGAGGTGCAAAAAAAGGCTAAAATAAAAATGTGGGAAGATGCAAAAAAGTTTTTTTGCAAAAGTATAAGAAAGCAGCAAGCAGCTACATGAACTGAGGGGCAAAGGAAAAATGCAAAAATGAAAAATAATGCGCTAGAAGGAGGGCTTGAACCTCCGACCTTGTGGTTAACAGCCACACGCTCTAACCAACTGAGCTATTCCAGCTTATAGCCATCGATTAAAATTTTACTATGTTATTGTGGAAACAGTTAGCCTGCAATAGTGATCTAGTTGATGGCAACTGGCAAGTCCAGATAACAGAGACGTTACTGTTTCAGAGAGCTAGCATACAGTGGCAGATCCAGATATAAGAGGTGAGCTTCTCATGAGGATTCACCCGAGATTATTCCGTGTTATTAAAATTGGAATGCAATAATTGAACAGGAATTTTACAAAAATTATATAGAAATAAAAAAAATCTCATGCGAGAAGGCTTATGGCACGTTTGAATGCCTCGCTCCACTCGCGTGGCGGGGCTAAACAACCAAACAATCTCTCCTTCTCTTGCCTTGCTAGCCTTGCTCAACTTACCTCCCCTGGCAAAAGAACCAAACATACCATCCTAGCCATTGTTGTGTGCTTATGCGGCTTCGGTGTGTGCAGGGCCTTTTTGGTTAGGCCCTGTTTGAAACGCATGAATAAAACACGTAGGAATAAAAAAAACACACAGGGAGTAGAGGTTTAAAATAGAGAATTGAAAAACGTATGAATTTTGTGGGAAAGAGTGTTTGCCTGTTAGGAACGGAGGAACCAAAAATTTCAGTTAGAACTACCACATGAACGTGAGATATGGGGTACGGTAATGATATTTTTTCTATTATAATAAACAGGAAAGTAGACCTTAGACCAATGATCCTAAGCATCTGGACAACAGCAGTACCGAGGAATGACCTAGAGCTCTTTTGTTTATCTCCTCTATGCTCTTTTCGCCTTGGTCTTAGGCGAATACACACTGTTCATTTGGTTGGTTTCAATGGCCCAAACCAAATGTAAATAAACAATGTGTTTTCTCTCACAAAAAACCAAAGAACAACCAAATTTCAAACCAAAGACCAAAGACCAACCAACTAATGGCCCACCAAGACCAAAGACCAACCAAAGAAACAGGCCCGAAATCAGAGCTCAGACTAGATGTATTTTTTTCCTATGTTTTGCTTAGGGGACCGAACCTTTCTTGGAATTGGAACGAGCGTTCCTCCATTCCAAACACTAGCGTCTGGAGCTCATCTGTCTGGCCGTGGAGCTGCAACCAAACGGCCCATGGCGGCATGCCACATTACCGACGTCAACTCCGCGGCGTCATTGGACTTGGACTTCTTCGGCATGTCAGAATGGCTAAGAAAATTAGCACCTGGACTAACATCATTTCTTGTCAAGAGGATATAACCACTTTTCTTCTCTCAAGATAAGATGTAACGCCAGCTACGTGAAAAAAGAACATGCGTGCCTTGTCTGAAAACAGAATAAAAGGAACAAAGGAATATGTTCTATACCCTAATAAGCTCGAGCAAAGTTTTTATTTGCTCCATTTAGCACGGCCGATCAGATGCAGCTTGGAAAAAGAGATCTGCAGCATCGTGCGAGAGATGCAAGTACGCAGCACCCTCATTTACCCTCTGCCACTTCCTTGTCGAAGAAATCACCCATCAGGTCGTCTTGGCCATTGTACTGCGGCTTGTTAGCTTCATAGCTTGCCCCGCCGCCATAAAACTCTCCCGTGCTGCTGCTGCCACTGTAGCCACCACCAGTCACATTTCCAGCGAAGTTGTTGCCACCAAAACGTCCACCACTAAAGTCGCCACCAAATTCTCCTGAGGTTCCACCACTGGAACTTCCTGTATTGTAGTTGGCTGCACCGTAGTTGCCTGCACCATATGGGTTGGGAGAAGAATTGTACCCACCAGTGTTTCCATCAGAACTGCCAGTGGTATTATACCTTCCACTGCTGCTGTATCCACTGCTCAAGTTGTTAGCATAACCACCACTGGCAGCTCCATTGCCGTAACCATCATTGCCGGAATGTCCACCACCTGAAGCATTGTTGCAGTTGCCACCATAGCCACTGCCAGATCCAACACCGTAACCACCATTCCCAGCATAACCCCCAGAACTATATCCACCACCACCAACCCCAGAACTATATCCACCACCACCGCCACCGCCATACCCACCAGTAGGATATCCACCGCCACCACCAGAACCGAAACCACCACCTCCGCGTATCCCACCAGCGCGGTCATTGGCATGGTCCACCGTTATACTTCGTCCTTGAAGCTCCTGTATAAGATGAAATAGTTTCAATGCTTTGCGAACAGGCAGATTATTTATGTTTCAGGAAACAAAATGTTTATTAGAGACAAGTATCTACAACTTCGAAGCAAAAATAACTTTCCAAATCACTTGCGGTATGAAAATGAGAAATAGCATTTTCTTTTGCAAATTCCAGGGAGAGGGTCTGATTAGGGAGAGTTCAAACTCAGGTATTCTTGCAGGATCTTGAACTTGTAAGCTAAAACAAATTGGTATAAGACTTTTTTTAGTCTAAACTGGAAACAACACAGCTCACCGAGAAACCCCTAATCTTCCTCCAACTCCAGCTCCAAGAATTCTTGGAAAGCAGCTGCTCTCCCAAACAGGCCCAATCATTTTAAGCCCAACTAAAAATCATAGGCATGAATTAACTCTGTAGAAGCAATTCAAGTATTTGAAAAAAACGATTTATCTAATTCGCTGCTCTGGTTTGCAACTCTTTTAGTGCTTCGGTCTACCAACTGGATTGTTGCATCATACACTAAGGACAAAAAACCTAACATTCATTGCAATAATATATTTCAATCCATACTCAAATCCAGAAAAAAAGGGTCTGTGACTTTCCTAAGAATATTTTGGTTGAGACCATTATTTGTATATATGCCACCATATCAATCAGTGCTTTCAACAAGGAAAAATAATTAGCCCAACATTTTTCCTGGCTGAAAAATAATGGTTAATGGTTGCTTATTTCTTTGAGTGTTAGCCCAAAATATTTCTCTTAGAGTTTTAGTTTGCATGAAGTGGAGATAGATTGAACAGAGTTTGGACTTGGGAATTGTTCCTATGTAACAAGTGATGTGAAAATTGGTATTCAGACAGTCAGTTTGGAATTACCATTGGAAGTGAGACAATTCAAAGATGATATAGAATAAAACAATAGACACAAATGACATACCTTGCCATCCATGGAAGTCATTGCAGCTGAGGCTTCTTCAGTGGATGTATAAGTTATAAAACCAAAGCCCTTTGACCTCCCTGATTCCCGATCAGTTATGATCCGAGCTGAATGCAAACCAAGAATAGAAAAGTGTTAGACACCGATAAAAATGCCCGAGAAAAGAATACAAGTCAAAATAAATTGGAAAAATAACCTTCAAGTACATTCCCATACGCAGAAAAGGCATTCTTCAGAGTCGTTTCATCTGTGGCATATGAAAGTCCTACAAGCAGGTTCATTAGAAACAGAATTAGATACTGAAACAGCATAGAAGAAAAGAAAGAATATCTTATAACCAGAAGGTACCATAGGAGAATAAAATCGATCTGAACATACCTCCAACAAAAAGCTTTGAAGACATGCATCTTACTGGCTGAAGCAGTGGAGAGCTAGTGGACACTGAAGTTCTCCTAAGCGCATTTCCGATTCTACTGACAAAAGCCATCCCTCAAATTGCACAGTACAAGCCAACCACAGGCACTGAAGGAATAACAGACTGTTCAGTGGTCAGACACAAAACTACTATAAACTCAAGAAAGAGAAAAACAGATTATTGTGCCTACTCTATGCATCTGTATCAGGGACAACACCACAATTAGGTTTCATTCCAGGACCTCAAGGACAATACCACCACAATTAGGTCTCATTCCAGGACCTAGACACAACTTTAACCCCTCACACACAGAGAGGCGCAAAAAGAAATCCATTGATACTACATCGCAATATCTATAGAATTCGCACAATCTTGAGAATCGCGGAACCTGAACTCAAACCGATGTTCTTACTCATACAGCTAACACGCTATACGGACAGGCAAGCAAAACAATCCATACTCCAAGAGCCCTCAACCAAGCACCGAAAATTGAAGGAACCAGGCCCGGAGCGCACGCCTCGAATCCACGCAACTCCGCGGCAGGTACGAAGTTGTTATTACTCTCGCGGCTACGATCCCAAAGACCGGGGCAAGAAATTTGTTACCTGTGCAGTAGGGCCGTGATCAATTGCCGTCGCCGCCTCAGGCTGTACAGAGCGGCGGCTTCCCAGTCGCCTCCCTAAACCCTACCGGAATGGCCTCCCGGGTTTAAAGTCGGGTCGGGGAAACGAACACCTATCGGTCCGGGCCACATCAGGCCCATGAGCACGATGGAACCAGCTGGATCGGCCCATTAAGCATAGTGACTTGTGGCCAAACTCCACACGCGTCTTTTTTTTTTCCTCTTTTTTTTCAAAAAAAAAAGGAAAAAAAGAAAAGAAAAGAGCAGCCCGTTCTTCATTTCAATCAAAGCTCTCAAAGGTTAACCGCGATTAGGCAGGTCTGGTTACGTGAGCCAAAAAAAAAAAGCATCAGTGATCAGGAGCAGCGAAAGATGAACTCCACTGCACTGCACTGCTGGAGCGGATAAATATGCCTCCGGAACCGGAAAGGCGAGCCTTTTGCACCTCCCTCCGTTGGCGCCTACTCTGCTCGCCACCACTTTGGCGTTTCTCTCGTCTTGTTCAGCCACAGCCCGATTCGTCCAAGATTTTCCTCCCTACCGCAGTCCGCAGTGCGTCACGAGCAGCAGCGATCTCTTCCTTTGGCTTGGCGGCGGCCTTATCTTGCTCGGCCGTCACCAGCGACAAAAACGCGCGACCTAACTCCAAACCGGCCCACGAATCACGATCCGTCTCGTTACGAATTCCAGAGCAACGAATCATGAAGCGTCACGGAAGGAAGCAGAAAGTAGCAAAGGACCGAAGCTCATAGTGCCATGCCACGGTCGAAGAAAACATTAGTACGCGTTTATAGCGTGCAAGCATGAAGAATCAGTGACTGTTTTTCGTCGAATAACAGTAACATACACACACGACAGCCTAACACGCAACCGAAACAAAAAAAGTTGACACGACGGCGCCTGAGACGAGCCGGCGGGGCGGGGCGCTCGCGCTCGCGCACGCGTACGCCAGCGCCCACTAGTGACACGCCGGCCCAACCCACTAGCGCGGGTGGCAATGGCATCGCGCATGCGCATGCAGCCGCCTCCAGTCCAGTCGCTTTGACCGCGGCCCGGCGGCACGTTGACGGCTGCGGGGCCCAGGCGGTCGACGGGGCGAGCGTCCGTCCGCCAATCGAACGGGGATCCTTTTCTCACCGTCGCGGGCGCCCTCGCGCGACGCTGACAGCGGTCCCCGTGGTCCCGACCTCGGCGCGGACACGGGTCGCTTTCGGAATTCCGAACCCCCGCCGCGGAAAGCAACGGGTGGGGAGGAGGGGGCGCACCAGCGCGCGGGCCGAGCGACAGGCACCGGGCGCGGGGCGTACCCGCGCCCCGCCGAACGCGGGGAGGCCACGGGATCGGGCACGGACGGCGGGGATGCTGTGGGTGGGGGAGGGGCGCTGTCGGTTTGGGCGCGCGGTGTGAAAGGCGGCACTGGATTACTGGAAAGCAGAGGTCGCCAAGGGGGCGGGACGGGGTGGTGGATGGATGGATGGATGGATGGATGGGAGCGGGGCTGGGCTGGGCGGGGAAAAGCAAAGCGTGGGGGGCCTTTTCGCCTTCCACACCGCCTTTTCGCGAAATTGCACGCGGACGCGCCGCGCTGGTGCTCTGCTCCGAGTCTTTTTCCAGAGTGGGGTTTTGCGGCCGCCCACGTTGGCTTGCTCGTATTCTCAGAAACGACCCTCACCCATGGGCCATGGTTCCGGGTTCCCTACAGCTACAGCTGTGTTCATCTAAGAAATGCAGGCGTGTGAGTGGTAACCTATCGCGTGTATAACGTGCAGTACCTTGGTAGCTGCTTGCGTGTGCTTGCTCGCATTTCCAAATCAAGTACTAATTTTTTTCTAGCAAAATAATCATTCTAGCAAAGAAGAAACATAACAACAGCTGCATATGTCGTTGAGGTTAATTTCACGAAAGAATCAGGAGAGTTTAGAGGCTATTAGCTCCTTGATACACTTGGTAGTTGAGCAAAGTAGGGTCCAATTTTACGCACATCTCTAGTGATTGTGCGACGAAAATAAGGGTCTGTTCGGCATGATTTTGACTCTGTCAGCGGCTTCTACAGAGAAGACAGAGGACTCCTATCAAACACTATAGGATGAGGAGTTGTTTTCTAGCGGATAGTATATAAGTCGGACCAGTTTTAGGCCATCAATCGGTCCGGAGGAACATTTGAGGAAGAACATTGCCAAATGGGTCCTAAGATACATGTATTTTTTCTTCGCAAGAGAACTAAGTACAAATATGTCATAATATAATGCACATCAACGAATAACCTCTTCCACTGCCCCCAAATTCTCCATCACATATATTGTTTCTCTTTGATGTTATGGTTGCATAGTCATATACCATCTCTTCCTTATCTTCCAACTGACATTTGCATTTTTTTATGACCACATCCCTTATTTATATGCCTTTCCTTTTGACACCTGGGATAGAATTGACTGTTCCATTTCTTTACACTATATTTAAGTGCAATATGATCTTTACTATTTGGTCCTTGCCAAATTTATCAAGCCGCTTATCAATTAACACATACAGAGTACGTGATATACTTGACAACTATCTACAATGGTACTAATTTTCTCATTTTAGAGTTTATCTATGCACACATCTTTTTTTTCTAGACAATATGGGAGGTATGACGGACACCAACAAACTGGGTATTAGTTGGTTAACTCTAGAGCAACTATCAACCGCAAACATTTTATATTCCAACTTTAAGATAACCTAATTTTAGTTATTCGTCTTTATCTCAGAATCTTAAAGTGCCTAGTGTGTATAATTGACATGACATTCGCTTTTTCTCCTACATTGCCTCATGTAGAAATTCTAGGAAGAATTTTCCATATCTAACCAATAAGCCCACTTTGGATTATTAGAGACGAAATATGTTATCGGCAATCAACCTAGACACATCCCAATGCTATTACAGTGCGTGCAATTTAAGGGTAACCGGAGATGTTCGCCGTAAACCACACTGTGTGGGGTGCAACCCAGCCGCTGGGTCACATGCTCCAGCCTCCAAGCTTCCAAACCAAGCAACCCCCACTCCCACCGCATCCATCCGAGGGCGCAAAGCGCAAAACCCCACCCACCCCGAGGTCCCCTCCGCAAAAGATCAACGCGTGCCCCGTCCCTCTCACCGTTGGCCGCCGTCGCCACACTCTTACGAGATTTTTAACTTTTTGTCATCCTTACGGATAGCGTTCCTTCGTTTACCAGCTTTACGAGCTCTCCTACGTAATTGCCATTGCAAACAGTGAACCTCCTATGCTTTTGTCACTTTCGCTGATGTGGCACGTCAGATGGGCAAGCCAGCGTGGCAGTAAGCCTGGGAGCCCAAACTTAGCACAGGAAATGACCTTTTTATCCATGCTGCTTCTCTCCCTCTACTCTCTAACGTGTGGGCCCCACGTGTCAGCTTCATCTTCCACCTCTAGCCATCACCACGCAGCGAGGGGAGGGGAAGAGCTCGTGCGGAGTCTCGGCCGCCTGCGCAACAGTCTGGGCGCGCGGCAACCGCCTGGGTGACGGCCGACGGCCAGTCCAGAGCACGCAGCGACAGCGCTTAGCCAGTTCCGACGGCGCCGAGCCAGTGCTCAGTGACGATGGTGACGCTGTAGGTGGCTAGAAACGGCGGTGGTGTTGAGCTCGCCGGAGGTGGCCATGTTCACGGGAGCTCAGTGCTCGGCTTAGGCTATGGCATTACGGCAGGTGAGAACAAACTGATGTGTTCGTGATGTCGTGGAGCAGCAGACAACAGGTAGCTTCTTGGACAAAGGCCTTGGATTCCCTTCCATGCTCATCAGCGTGCTCGAATGCTAGGCAGTGTAGCCTTCAACACAGCAGGACATGGAGTGAGCCATTCTTGGCGGCTGAGCAGATGGGGCACGCGTCCATGGGGGGACCTCGGGCGAGTGGCACAGCCACAGGTGCCAGTGCCGGCCCTGCGATTTTATGACCCTCTAGCGATCTCGTTGCGATAACCCCTCTTAACCATCTATAAAATTTTATTATATATAGCCACTAATTTTACTTGTAAAACGAAAGTAAATTCAATAACATATTTTTAATTTAACATGTCTGATAATTATCGATGAACAATGTAGATTAAGCAATATATTTGTAGGTATATGATAATTATCGAGAAACAATGTAGATTAAAAAAATAATATATTCGTTTTCTTTTCCCACCCATGACAAATGTTTCTTAGGTAACATTTTAAAATTATAACACCTAAATTAGAAGAAAAATATGACTATATGAGTACAAAGTACTAGAAGTCTGGAATACTATACTAATAATTAATTTGGATTAAAAATAAAAAGGAAAAAAATACCTTGGACTAAACAACTGATCGGTGATCGCAATTCGTAAGAAGCCAAAAATCAAGATATCGTCGTCGTGGAGCCCTGCCTGGTCGCCGTCCTCGTGTGCCGTGTCCGTGTCTCCGGTAGTCTAGCTCTTCGCGGCGGCGCGGCTCGCCGGCTCCGCGTGTGTAAGGCACATGTCACGAACTCACGATCAGAGTGTGCTGTGTGCAGCGTGACTCCTCGCTTCCTCTCTATCTGAGGGCCGTGGGGAAAGAAAATTAGGAAAGAAATGCCGATGTTATCTTTTTGGGTTGCCTGGCCAGTTCTATGTCTCTCTTCTCATTAATTTGCTAATGCTTAATGGACTATAGGATCTGGGGGTTTGTATACGTAGGCTTGAGCCTCTCCTCCGTTTGGGCCCTCGGCCGTCGCACCTCGTGCCCTACACCTAGGGGCGGCACTGACAGATGCTGTCACGGGAGCAGCAGCACGCACCCGCCGCCGCTGTCGCATGCCTTGCAAGACGAGTAGACGACGCTGCAGCCTTGTCGCCGTACGCTGGTGCGCGCCAGGCTGCTGCGCGACGCGGCCAAGACTCCGCACGAGCTCCCCCTCCCCTAATTGCGTGGTGATGACCGGAGGTTGAAGATGAAACCGACACGTGGGGCCCACATGTTAGAGAGTACAGGGAGAGAAACAGTATAGGTAAATACGTCATTTCCCGTGCTAAGTTAGAGCTTTCAAGTTTGCTATTGGACGTGCCACGTCAACATAAGTGGTAAAAGCATACGAGATTCACAGTAGATTCACAGTTTAGGACAATTAGGCGCGCTCATGAAGCTGGCGAACAGAGGAGCGCCGTCCGTAGGATGCCCCCGTTAGCTGAGCTGAATTTAGCTAAAAAATATGGTTCATGTTGAACGGTTGCGAGAGAAAAATTGTATTCTAATTAAAAAATAATCGAAACAAGCCGATTTCTCTGACCAGCCGAACGGCAAAGTTAAAAATCCCCACTCTTACTACACTCCACCGCGGGCCAAGCACTCCGCCACTCCCCCACTGTCCCGCCTCAATGCGACGGCGGCCCCCGCCGCCGCCGCCGCCACCACCACCGACTACGCCCATGGCCGCTCGAACCCTGCTGCTGCTCGTGCCGCTCTTGCTGCTGCTCGCTGACGCCACCTCGGCTTCCGTCAGCGGCGAGCGCGAGGCGTTGTTGAAGTTCAAGGCGGCCGTGACGGCCGACCCGGGCGGGCTGCTGCGCGACTGGTCCCCGGCGTCCGCGGACCACTGCCGCTGGCCGGGCGTGTCGTGCGGCGCGGCCGGGGAGGTGGTCGCGCTCAACGTCACCTCCTCGCCCGGGCGCGCGCTCACGGGCGCGCTGTCCCCGGCCGTCGCGGCGCTGCGGGAGCTCCGCGTACTCGCGCTCCCGTCCCACGCGCTCTCGGGCCCGCTCCCGCCCGCGATCTGGACGCTGCGCCGCCTCCGCGTGCTCGACCTCTCCGGCAACCGCCTCCAGGGCGGGATCCCCGCGGTGCTCGCCTGCGTCGCCCTCCAGACGTTGGACCTTGCCTACAACCAGCTCAACGGCTCCGTGCCCGCCGCCCTCGGCGCGCTCCCTGTGCTGCGGCGCCTGTCACTTGCCTCCAACCGCTTCGGTGGCGCCATCCCTGACGAGCTCGGTGGCGCCGGTTGCCGCAATCTGCAGTTCCTCGACGTCTCTGGGAACATGCTCGTCGGTGGCATCCCCCGGAGCCTGGGGAACTGTACCGAGCTGCAGGCGCTGTTACTGTCCTCCAACAATCTGGATGACATCATCCCGCCGGAGATTGGTCACCTCAAGAACCTGCGTGCTTTGGATGTGTCCAGGAACAGTTTGAGTGGGCCTGTGCCAGCGGAGCTTGGTGGTTGCATTCAGCTGTCAGTGCTTGTGCTGTCCAATCCTTATGCGTCGCCTGGTGGTTCTGATTCTTCTGACTATGGTGAGCCTGATGACTTCAACTACTTCCAAGGAGGGATTCCGGATGCTATCGCTACGCTGCCGAAGCTGAGGATGTTGTGGGCGCCAAGGGCCACATTGAAGGGAGAGCTGCCGGGTAATTGGAGTTCTTGCCAGAGCTTGGAAATGATGAATTTGGGGGAGAATCTGTTCTCCGGCGGGATTCCCAAGGGGCTGGTGGAATGTGAGAACATGAAGTTCCTGAATTTGAGCATGAACAAGTTTTCAGGTTCAGTTGATCCTTCACTGCCAGTGCCTTGCATGGACGTGTTTGATGTCACTGGAAACCAGCTGTCTGGCTCGATTCCAGTATTTATCTCAAAAAAGAATTGTTTTTCATCCCAGCCTCCATTGGATGACTTGGTGTCAGAGTATTCTTCTTTCTTCACATATCAAGCGCTTGCTGGCTTTATGTCATCCTCATCACCATTGGGTGTGCATTTGACAAGCTACCATAGTTTTTCCAGGAACAATTTTACTGGTGCAGTTACATCCTTGCCTCTTGCTACTGAAAAGTTGGGGATGCAGGGGTCCTATGCATTCTTGGCTGATGGGAATCATCTTGGTGGTCAGCTTCAGCCTAGTCTATTTAACAAGTGCAACAGCTCAAGGGGCTTCGTCGTGGAAGTCAGTAACAACTTGATAAGTGGAGCTATTCCTGCAGACATTGGCTCGCTGTGCAGTTCTCTCGTTGTTCTTGGTATTGCTGGTAATCAGCTTTCAGGTATTATACCATCAAGTATTGGGGAATTAAGTTACCTTATCAGCTTGGATTTGAGTAGGAATCGCCTCGGTGGTGTAATTCCTACTTCTGTGAAGAACTTGCCGCATTTACAGCGCCTCTCTTTGGTTCAGAACCTTCTGAATGGCACCATTCCAGCCGATATTAATCAGTTGCACGCTCTCAAGGTTTTGGACCTGTCATCCAACCTCCTCACAGGGGTGATCCCTGGTGCCCTTGCTGACTTGAGAAATCTCACTGCTCTACTCCTTAATAACAATAACCTTACTGGGAAGATTCCTTCAGGATTTGCTAACTCAGCATCTCTTACCACGTTTAATGTGTCATTCAACAATTTGTCTGGTCCAGTGCCAACAAATGGTAATACAGTTAGATGTGACAGCGTTATTGGGAATCCTTTACTGCAATCTTGTCATGTGTACACTTTGGCTGTACCATCAGCTGCTCAGCAGGGTCGAGGCTTGAATTCGAATGACAACAATGATACAGCACCTTCAGACTCGCAAAATGAAGGAGCGAACAATTCATTTAATGCAATTGAGATTGCTTCAATAACTTTTGCAACAGCCATCGTTTCTGTCCTCCTTGCACTGATCGTGCTCTTCATATACACAAGGAAGTGTGCTCCCCGGATGTCAGCTCGGTCTTCTGGAAGGAGAGAAGTTACACTCTTCCAAGATATTGGTGTCCCAATCACTTATGAGACTGTTGTTCGAGCCACTGGAAGTTTCAATGCAAGCAATTGCATTGGAAGTGGAGGCTTTGGAGCCACTTACAAGGCTGAAATTGCACCTGGAGTGTTGGTAGCTATTAAGAGGCTCTCTGTCGGGAGATTTCAGGGAGCCCAACAGTTTGATGCTGAGATAAAAACCCTAGGGAGATTAAGACATCCAAATCTTGTTACCTTGGTAGGTTACCATCTTGGCGAGTCTGAAATGTTTCTCATATATAACTACTTGTCTAGAGGAAACCTTAAGAGGTTTATACAGGAGAGATCAAAGAGACCGGTAGACTGGAAAATGCTGCACAAGATTGCATTGGATGTTGCCAGAGCACTTGCTTATCTGCATGATACCTGTGTTCCCCGTATCCTTCACCGGGACGTGAAGCCGAGCAATATTTTGTTGGACACTAACAATACTGCATATCTCTCGGACTTTGGACTGGCAAGACTCTTGGGAAATTCAGAAACACATGCAACCACTGGTGTAGCTGGAACATTTGGATATGTTGCTCCAGAATATGCTATGACTTGTCGTGTTTCAGATAAAGCTGATGTGTATAGCTATGGTGTTGTCCTGATGGAGCTAATCTCAGACAAGAAGGCCTTGGACCCGTCATTTTCTCCTTATGGTAATGGGTTCAACATAGTTGCTTGGGCTTGCATGCTGCTTCGTCAAGGCCGTGCCAGGGAATTCTTTATTGATGGTCTGTGGGATGTTGGCCCACATGACGACTTGGTAGAAACATTGCATTTAGCAGTGATGTGCACTGTTGATTCACTCTCTATACGTCCAACTATGAAGCAGGTCGTTCAGCGATTAAAGCAGCTACAGCCTCCAATTCGTGAACATCGATAGAGATGAATAATTTTACATATTCTACATGTAGGAGAAGGTAAAGATAGCTGTGACCTGCGCCCTTGATGATTTTTTTTTTCTAATCATCTGTTTGACTAGATTTTATCCTGTAGATGGCAGCTTTGTGTAATATAGTTTTCTTCTGAATCTCTCACTAGTCACTAATGTATCTGCTGATAAGAAGTGCAGGTGTAAATTAACTGTCTTAATGCCAAAGATTTCAGTTAAGATTATCTGACTGTATTCTTCTATCATTTCCTTAGCATTTAGTGTATATATATACACCCCATAGGCCCATACCTATGTTGCCAGCATGAACTAGGGTACTCGACGTTGCCATAAGCTCCTGACCTTCCACATGCTGGCATTGCCACAATGTCCCTTGAGACGTCTTCTACAGTTCTATGGTTTATGTTTCCGAAATCTGAATTATTTACCTGTTGTCTAGGTTCTATTTTGAATTTTTATGTGAAGATCAAAGTTCTCATGAGTAATGATTCTGGAAACCTCATTGTTTTTGGCATTGCCATAATCTTACTGCTGCTACTTATTTGCATGGTCATACAAAAGAGTAATAGTTGTCACCCTGAATCTGCTGAACCATCAAATGAAAAGAAAAAACACAGCATCTACCATCTATATGATTTATTTCTGAAGAAGCCGAAGGGTTCTCAGTCCCACTTCCCTTTTCAACGCTGGTATGCATTGCATCTCTTATAGTCTCTACTTAATACTGCTCATCCAGGCATATACGTTAAGTCAAGCTTTCAGTTTGTACTATGTAAATGTCAAATTGTAGACTGTTTCTGTGCCTGCTCATCTGCAACATTTATATACAGAATGTTGTGCAGTGCTTTGCTATGTGTGTGCAACGTGTACAAATTCATTAGTTTGTTGCGCGTGCCTATATGCATTGACCAATGTATACGTTTATTGTTACACTCACACTGCACAGGACAATAGTCAATAGGCCGCTGTGGGTATGCACGCTAATCGTGTGGAGATGGGATCACATATTGACATACTGGTCTGTTAGCACGATGAACGACGGATAAGAGTGTTAATTGATACTGTTCCAATCAAGCAATATATGGCCACTGCAAAAATAAAAAGAATTGTCTCTACTCTGAAAACATCTCCAGAACTACGATCTGAATGACTGAATAAAAAATCCAGCTACCAAGACAGTAACTTTGCTATACTCCAACCTTGCGAGTTGCTAATCACAATCAGTCTTTCTTCTTGGTGGTCCACTCCTGGAACCGGCGGAGGCTCGCCGGGAAGTCGGTGAAGAGGCCATCGACGCCGACGTCGTTGATCCAGTAGTCGTACTCGGCGTATGGGTCCTGCCGGAAGTTGAAGTGCAGGAACTCGTTCTCGTTGCGGTACGTGTAGGGGTGCACCTGCAGCCCCCGTGCGTGCGCTATGGCGACGAGGTCCGACGGCGTGCCCAGCAGGTTGCCCTTGGTCGGCGGCACCACCGTGTCCTTCCACGGCCCGATGCCCACCACGTACTTCTTCATGTAGTCCAGGTACTCGCCGGAGGTGATCTCGTCGTACGGCTGGTTGGTGTCCTCGGTGCGCACGGTCACGTCGTCGATGAGGAAGACGAGTGGCGAGTCCGTGAGGCCGGCCGCGTGGACCAGCGACGTCGGCGCGAAGGACTGGAGGAAGACCGGCTTGGCGCACCACGCCGGCGACATGTACTTGCCGCCGTACCCGTACTTCTTGAGCGTCGCGACGAATTTGTCCTCGAATTTCTTCCCGTCCGCCCACCGCACGTGCTTGTTCATGAACACGGGGTTCTTCATCTCCGGGTAGATCCCGACCACCCTCTTGGCGTTCAGCGCGATGTCGATGAACTCGTCGAACGTGATGATCGGCGAGACGCCTGCGGAAAACGAGGCCACGGTGTATGTGGACGCTGTTTTTCGTACAGTTAACAAAGAATGAAAGACCGGGCTCGTCGGCGCGGCGTTGGGTCTCGCCGGCCGGGACGCCGGATCGACTTGCTCACCGTTGTGGGAGTTGTCACGGAAGTCCCATCGCTGCTTCGCCCTCAGCGTCTTGAGCTCCGTCAGGGTGAAATCAGCTGCGCAACAGTTAGCTTCGTGTTATTCACTAGCTAGATAGATCGACAATGAGATGGAACTGAAACTACCGATCGACTGAATGCATGCAACGGGCGGCGTACTGTCCACGTACTGATGAAGTATCCGGTGACGTTGGCCCACTGCACCTCGAGGGTGCGCCGGCGGCCGGCGAACTCCGGGTGGTCGGCGACATCGGTGGTGTCGTCAAGAGTGGTGTCGTGGAAGCAGACGAGGTGTCCGTCCTTGGTGGCCTCGATGTCCGCCTCGATGAAGTCGGCGCCCTCGTCGATGGCGCGCACGTACGCCGCCGCCGTCTCCTCGGGGAGCTCCCCGTTGGAGCCCCGGTGCGCGATGTTGAAGGGGCGCGACGTCTGCAGCGGCGCCCTGTCCTCCCACGCGCCGCCATCCCCGACCAGAGGCCGGGCCGCGACGCCGCCCGCGCTCACCGCCATTGCCACCAACACTGACACCAACACCATACGGAGGGACGCCATATCCGCCGCTGCGATCGCCGGCTTCGGATCGAGGAGGTGGACTGGACCGCCGCGGCGGCTAGCGCTGTATGCCTATATAAGGAGATGGCTCGAGGAATATTCTAGCTAGCGGGACGCGGGAATTGAGTGATATTGTTAGGCTGGTTTTTGTTGGAGATTTTACAGCTTCTTCGAAGAGATATTACCATTGCAGAACGGATATTTTTTACAGCTAGCAAAAAACACGATCGTACCAGAAATGTGTTGGTCCGTTCGGATTTTCTTACCTTTGGCAGGGTCGCAAAGGTAGATTGGGCCTAGAGAGTCGTCGAAATAGTTATGGGCTGTGACCTGTGACGTGGGCCATTTAAATTTGGAAAAAGCCCTCTTGCATCACTCAGCTATCGCCTTAGTCCTCGCTTAACTCTCAAAATCATTTAAATTACTTCCTCCATTTTTATTTACATATCACATATCATGTTAGTTTTGTCCTAAATTAAATATTTACATCTTTAATCATCATTTTCAAAAAAAAATATAGGTTCGTGACGCGAGATTTATATTTTAGATTTACTATGAGAAATACTTCGATAATATATAACTATTTTTGAAATCGATAGTCAAAAATAGTAATATTAGACTTACGACAAAACTAACATGACATGTAAAAAAGAATAGAAGGAGTACCTCAATGTCCCGGTTAGAAGTTGTTTTCAATGTGGTTTTCAGTTTTTTAAGAAATCCTGCAAACACCTTAATAAGGTCTAAACCATGAAAATTTTGTACCTCATCTGTCCCTGAATAAATAGATTCCTAGAGTTGTCTTAAGTCAAAAATTTTAAACTTTGACCGAATTTCTACAAAAAAACCCATCACGATTTATGATATCAAATTTGTATAATTAGATATGTCATAAGATACATTTCCATAATATGCTCATTTTATGTCATATATGTTATTACTCTTTCCTATAAAGTTTGTCAAACTTTTGATAGTTTGATTTGCACGGATTCTAGAAATTGATTTATTTGAGAACGGAGGGAGTACATGCTTATTAAAATTCCAAGAAAATTCTATAGATATAAAGGGACTCTATAAACTTAAAGAAAATGTTTAGATTCGTGAAAATATATCTATAAGCTTTAAAAATATATATTTAGCACTAGGAAAATAAGAAAATATCAAGAAAAATCTATGGAATTCCTAAAACGTTATATAAATGTCTCAGCATATTTTAAGAACTTTATGTAATAAAAGATAATATGAAACTGACAAGAATGCATTCAACATTAACGTATGTTGTATTGATGCTGGTTGCATCTCATATTTTTGCTCAGTAGAGTTTTCCAAAAACACGTTAGACATTGATTAAAATGTTCTATGAACTTTCTAGATACTTTTCCATTTTGATAGAGCTAAATTTAATCACTGAGAGTTTTGAAGTATATTTTCGTGATTTCTATTTATTTTGTTTCTCATGTCTCAATCTCTCTCTAGGATTTCCCCCTAGTTTTAGAAGCTGAGTATTTTTTCGTTTTTTGAAATTGTTAGGTGTTAACCATAAGTTTTTCTCTAAACGACGTTTTCACGAGTGTGAAATACACTTGTGGTGGTGTGCATATATGTTCATACTTATCCTTGATTCTATTAGAAGAACATGCCGGTTTGAGATTTCTTTTGAAAAAAAGGACCATCTGACCGCAGTTATTACGGGCTTGCTTGGCTGCAAGCCAATTCTTTCCAAGTCAAAACATGGACAAGTTCAAAAGATTTGGCATGAATTGGATTGGTGCCAAAATATCAGCAATTCCTTCTAAAATTCTGGCAAGACAACATTCGTTTCTTTTACCGGTAGCAAACCAAGTATTAACCTTGGTTGCCTTACAAAAATATTGGCTTAAAATATTGGTGTACCCACATTTTGGGTTGCCTTAAAATTGGCATGACAAAATTTGGTGTTCAGCCAAGCAGGCTCTACATACCCATCTCAAAGTGCAAACGCACCACAAGAGTTATATAACTTACTCAAAACCTGCCTAAACTAAAAGGCCTTGTTTATATCCTTGTGTATCTTTATATATTGGTTGGGCATATATATACTCTACATATATCCATATTATGCATAGTCCTTTTTATACACTTGTCAACATTGTAGGAGCATACTCTCGTGCTGATAAACTGAGTACGTACGTACGTCGTCGTCGTCGTCATAGCCTGTGTACGTTTGTCACGTGCGTACGCGTACTGACGGCCATTCTGCAGCTAGCTAGTTTAGGACGCCGGCGCCCGGCGGTGTCCTTGGCTGCCGGAAGTCGTGGTGGCGGCCGCCGGTGCCACCCTCGGGCTGGCAGGTAAAGAAGGCGGCGGCGACGGGGGCGCCTAGGCCGTGGTCGACGGCGAAGTTGCGGGTGCAGAAGTTGTGGCGGAGAAGCGGCGGCTGGTCGACGGAGCCGCGCGCCATCTGCTGGAAGAGCACGAACACCACGCGGTGGATCCCCGCCGGCGGCCGGAGACTCTCGTAGCAAATCACCTCGCGACCTGCATGCGTGCGTGTATGCAGCCAATTATTGGAAACGCAGATCCATGCATACGGAATCACCCATGCATGGATTTCTCTTTTTTTTTACTATATATATATAATGATATGTCACGCGTTCATGTGGGATTTTCTTAGAAATATAAAAAATATTACATGTATAAGTTAAACCTACATGCATGTTTTTACATCCATTCTTATCAAAATTAAGCAAGACAATGAAAGGATCCTTGAAAAACTAATATAATTAAATCAAATTATAAGATGATAAAAGGACAAAACAAATAGCAATCTGTGAATGATTTCTATATTTCTTATATATTGAAAGTAGTAGCTGCGTTTAGTGGAGATGACCTGGATGAGGTTAAAAGTTAGTAGAATAAGATGACTATTAGTGAGAGATGATGTGGATAATTAGCAACAGATGATGTGGATGGCTCTTACATATTGAGATAAAATTACAGTGAGAATAATAGATATAGATTTATTAATTTACTGTAAAAAGAAGAATTGCGTATATATGTTATAATATAATATAACCCAAAAATACATTTTTTTTGCGAATAACCCAAAAATACATTTAGTCCAAGTTTCTTTTGTGTGTGGCGGCATCCATAGTGGGTTTGAGCTCCAAGTTTTTTTGGAAGATATATAGGATGGACGACGTACGTTCTTGGAACCATGTGCATCCGTTTACGAACTAATAACACTATGATGGTCATAATTAATTGAACAAAGTAATATTCAACTTTTTAAAATAGTTTATTTTAGTAAAAAGTTTATGAAAACTCAACAGTCTAAACATAATTTCTCCACAAATAAAAAATGATATTCACAGAAATCACATATAACAAATGTTTAATATTATAACTTTGCAAAGTGTTTGATTACGCATGTTTCACAGGTTCTAGAATTGATGCAAGGATCTAATGATAAATGCTGAGGGTATCCAACCTGCAGCTGCAGGGTTTCAAAACAAGGAAGTATTCCTACAAGAACATGTCCGTCATCCATGGTAGGTCAGATGACATTAATGAGCTATTCACAGTGTGCGCATGTTCATTTCATTAACTTCTTTATCAGCAAAATCATCATTCATGAATTTAATCGTGTTCTATGTATGCATCTTTTACCAGTCTGTAGTGTGATGGTGGTGTCTAATTTTTGTGATATGTACTCTGTATGATACTTTTACATGCATGTAATATAAAAATTGAGGTATGAAATGCACAAAAAAAGAAAGCTACTCAATAACTCAAACATCTTGCCACCAGTCAGATTATACTGCAAGATGTCTGTATCTGTATGCAATGATCGTAATGCATGCATAAGTACCAAATTATACATGCATTAACCCGATGCAATATGAAATAAGCCAGGTGCTTTGGGGCCTTCCTAGATTTAGAACGAAGCATGCCATCTTTTCAGTTTCAATTGGCCAATATCTAAACAAGCTCATTATCGACAAATAATTAAGACAAACTGTAAAGGTTTACTTACAGAGAGTAGAAGGTGCGAATAACGGTCGATGAAAGCATGAAGCTAGCTAGAGATAATTGGAATGGCTATGATTATACAATAACAGGATACATACTGAACCCTATAATTAATTTTTACAAAATCGTATTCGTGTATAATGTGAAAAGGAAGCGTTTGTCGACTCATAACACATCAAGACAAACATAGTAACCACTCTAGCTAGGTTTAATTTCTAAGAAGGCGCCACACTTAAAATCCAGAGTCCCTATAGTCTAGGATCAAAAAGAAATGGCCCATGACATAATTTTATTAGTTGATGCTCTCCGATACTCGACTACTGCACAAACCTCATCATTGGCGGCTATAACCCCCTCCTCCTCCACCTCGCCACTAGTTTTCATCAGCATTGGTGATGAAAGTGGACGGTGATAACCAGGGTTATCACCGCTAGCTCGGTGTTTCATCCAGCGGTAATGAGGGCAGTATCACCACTGATTTGGTATATGATTCAACGATGATGAAGATTTCATCGTCGCTAGCTCAATCGGCATATGATCCTTTGACCCCACGGACCACCGGTGCGACTTTTGGTTCGGCGATGATGAGCACCTCATCACCGACGGGCTAGAATTCTTCCGTTTGAATTATATTGATACATAGAATATTGTCTAGTTGTATGATGTAATATAGATGCAGTTAATTATCTGATTTTGATTTGAGCTCTCTTACTTCCTCACTCAAAAGTGGATCACAATCGAGATGTGATGTTGCTGACATGCACAACGCATTTCTAGCTACTGCTCTTTTCTACTCACCATATTCAATTTCAGTTGTCCCAGGAATATCTGTCACCAACCTGCAAAATGAAAGGTGATCAATGAAATCCAAATGTAAATATGCATGGCTTTTAGAACATAAACAATATACATACTCCCTCCGCCCCATGATAGCTGCTCGTCTCACTTAAATTTCGAAGTTCAACTTTAAATCTAGTTAAATTTAAAATAGCATTTGACTCATTTCTTAAGATGTGCAGTTATTTTGGAACGGATGAAGTATGTTTGAGGACTAATTATATATACATATGGTACCAATGCAAATACTCAACGTCGGATTGCTCGGGTTGGGAGCGTCAGGATCCACCATAACCTTTTGATTTGATGATCCAAAAGCCACGCGGACGGCATATGTAAATGAACACATCATGAATAATCAGTTAGCTTAGCTAGGAATGGCAATAGGACATGCAAGCACACACATCAAGCAAGGCTGTTTTTTAATAATTAGAACTAATATCCGCCAAAAGAGATGCATGGAGGAACACTTTACAAGCGTGTAGGACTTCCTGAAACCGGTGCCCCCGATCTCGACGCGAGGCCTTGCTGCCACCGCCGACGGCCGGAGGTCGGAGCCGTTGATGAGGCGCCGGCCGTTGTAGGAGACCCGGAGCGCCACCGTCGGCGAGAACGGGTCCACCACGTCGCCGACCACCCGCCCCAGCACCAGGTTGTCCCTTGACGTCGTCGACATCGAGAGCTTTGTAGTGTACTAAGCAGTTTGTCGTTTGGAAGCTAGCAAGCCTAGGTCCAACCTTCTCTCTTCAGCCTGTTCGTTAGGCTGTGGCTAGCTTGTCGTAAACGATCGTAAATTTTCAGTCGAAATATTATTTTTCTCTCACACAAACCAGTCAGCAGTACTTCTTCATCAACCAACAACGAAACGAACCAGCCAACGCATAGTCCTTTTTATCCATATCTTTCTGCACATATGACGCATCTGATATTCTGATCTGGCTGGCCGCCGTGTGTTGCGTCAGATCGCACAACACCACTGCGGCGCTGAACCAGCAGACCTACACAACTGAGCGAGGCCGCCAGAGCGAACCACGCGTCCGACCTTCGCGTCAGTTCGGTTTGTCCCGAAAATATCATCGCTGGAGACCTGTTTAAGAGGGATGAATTGGGAGAGAAATCACCGCACGTTCATTATCATCAGAGGAGGTACATATACATGTCCAGAGTTATTGCCAGCCAATCGTGTACAACAGATGATCCTATAATTTAGAGAACGTTGGCTAGCTAATTGACCGGACTGACAGGCTAAAAAATAGCATTACGACAGTTACAATGAACTAACTGAAACTATCTTAGACTTTGTCTTTTACACCCCCCCCCCTCAGTCTGAGCATGATCTGATTTGATGCATAGACTGTTTCTGAAGTCTTGGAACAACGATGTGGGCAGCCCTTTGGTCATAACATCTGCAATTTGGTGTTGAGTCTGAATTGACGAAGGGCAACCCTTTCTCTGACGAAGTGTATGTCTAGCTCGACGTGCTTGGTTCGGCGATGGTGAACTGGTTTTTAGACAGATATACCGCCGAAACATTATCGCAGTACCTTACATAGCATATGCTACGAATCAGGCATGTCTGTATATGCACTCGCCACGGACAACGCACTGGAACCTCGTCAAGCGGATACTCCGGTACCTTCGAGGGACGATCAACCACGGTCTCGTCATCTCGGCCTCACCATCCACCGACCTCAAGGCCTACTCCAATGCGAATTGGGGAGGCTGCCCCGACACACGGCGTTCGACTTCTGGATACTGCGTCTACCTTGGAGACTCCCTTATCCTCGGCAAGCACGTGCGCCTTCCATTCAAAGAGTCCACAAATGTTTCCCTTTTTCCTTTTCAATTGTTGCAATGTGATGTTTGGACCTCACCAATAATAAGCAATTCGGGTTACAAATTTTACCTTGTCATTCTTGATGATTTTTCTCACTATGTATGGACCTTTCCTTTACGACATAAGTCAGACGTTTTACCTGCTCTGATACCATGTAAGAGGGATGAATTGGGAGAGAAATCACCGCACATTCATTATCATCAGAGGAGGTACATATACATGTCTAGAGCTATTGCCAGCCAATCGTGTATAACAGACGATCCTATAATCTAGGGAACGTTGGCTGGCTAATTGACCGGATTGACAGGCTAAAAAATAGCATTACAACAGTTACAATGAACTGACTGAAACTATCTTAGACTTTGTCTTTTACAACCTGGACCTGGAGCCATGATGCCGGCTGTGCCTTGTCTGTGTGTCCAAGAATCAACGGCTGGAGACCTTCACCTGTCCGCACCTCATGATGTCCTCATCAACCTTTCCATGATCGCGTCGTCCTACGGCAACCACGGAGGGCTGCCACGCACCTTTCGCACACAATTCACAGGGACAGATCGAGTGGTCTTTTGATTTCTTGTCACCTCTTCAGTCCTCGTCTCGCAACTCTTCGACAACGACGACGATGAGTCGATGACCCGATGAGCGAAACCGCAGCGGCTGCAATACAAGAGGGAGGAAGGCCAGGTGTGTCGTGTGTGCGCCTCAACTGAACCAACATCCATTTCGGATATTTGCTCGCTCCTTAACTTACAGCAGTATCCAGCCCCGGCCCTGCGTCCTTCACTCGATCGGGAAGAACGTAGGGAATAGCTAGCATAAGTTACTACTACTAATCATATGATGAGTACCAATAAACGGAAAAAGAAACAAAAAAAAGGTTTAAGCTTCTTCGTCTGCTCATCTGCTATCTCAATTCTCAACACTGTCTGCTCCTCAAAAGGTTTTAAGCTTCAACATGTTCCTGCCAAAAAAGTTTAAGCCTCAACCCGTTTCTGTCCAAAAAGGTTTAAGCTTGAACCCGTTTCTGTCAAAAAGGTTTAAGCTTCCTAAGACTTTTACCTGTGTGCCATTATGAAACATGTTTTTGACCTATATGCCACTAAAAAGTTTGAATGCACCCTGGTGCCATGACGCTAAATTTTCTTGCATTCTACGCCATTCCATCCATATTTGCCTCTAACGGTGTCAAACCGCAGCGAAAAAAAGTCTAAAATGCCCTAAGAAATTTATTTTCTCATTTTCTTTTCTTCCTCACTTTTTATTTTCTCCCTCTCCTCTATCCGATCGGCTGGGCAGCTTCTCCACAGATCCGCGAGCCTCCGTGCTACCGTGCGCCCGTGAACTGGTCGGCGCCCATGGGCCACGCCAGTATGGCCACCCCGGCGGCGGCCTCCTCTAGCAAGTTCCAACCCACAGCGCGGTGGCGCAGCATCTCCACCTGCGGCGCCCACCCGCGGATCACCTGCCCACGCGACGCCGTGCCCGCCTCGAACCTGTCCGGCACCGTAGTGCCCGTCCTCGTCGCCCACACGAATGCTATCGAGCTCCGCGCCAGCGCGTCCGGCGACAGCTCCGCAGAGCCCACATGAACGCAACAGCTCTGTCGATCCCACACGAACGCAGCCGAGCCCACACGAACGCTGCAGCTCCGCCACATACGCCGCCTGCGCCGGTGACAGCGCCTACTGCATCCCAAAGCTGACGTACACCACGGAGCCGTCCGGGAACGCGTCCAACCACCCGCGTCGCCGCCACCGCGGGCTTCCCCCGACGACGTGGCCACGCCGTCGGCGTCCGACAACGGGCCCACCGCGAACACTTCGTCGCCGGGCTACGCAGAGGGCGTGCGACATGGTGAGGTGGAGCACACAGGAGAAGGAGAAGGTGACGTGTGGCACGCGCGGACCAGCGGCGCGAGCGGCGCGGCGTTACCGAACGGGAGGCGACGGTGACCGCGAGGCCGCGCGTGGCGAGCAGCTCCTGGGTGGCACTAACGCAGCCGAAGAGCTGACCGGTGAGGGCGTTGGGCACCCAGAACCTCTTCTCCTTCCACCACGTCCGCAGCGTGATCCTCCGCTTGTTAGCCTGCTGCCGACGTTGTGGTGCGCGAGCACTAGGGCACCCGCGCGCGCTACCGTGGCTCCCGGCGGCAGTGGCCCATGGCGGCGACCACGACCCGGGGAACGAAGCGGCACACGGGTAGAGGAGAAGGCGGCGGAGCCGGCAGCGGTTTTGGTTGGGGCCGAGGATGGCTGCATGCAGTGGAACACAACGGTGCTGCGAGCTCTGCTCGCCGACCATGGTTGTTGCGGCGGCGCTCTTTCGATCTCTATCCCTGAGTTGTAATCGACCAAGGTAGGTAGTCCATCGGAACCCCTTGCCTTCCTCTCCCTCCCCATGGTCTTGGATTAGAAAATGGTGAAGCTCCGTGAGCGCCATGGTGGTTCTTGACGACGCCGCTGCGTGCCCGTGATCGCTCTCTCTCTCTCTCTCTCCTGCTTGCGGCGGTGGTGGCGTGGCGGCGGCTTCTTCGCTCGCTTTCGTCCGGACCGTCCGAGCATGCGCGGGGGGGACTGCGGGCGGGCACGCGGCGGCGGTGGGGTCTTGCGATCGAGACGCCGCAACCGCGGTGGAGCTGGGTGAGGTCCGTGCGGGCTCTGGTGGCGTGGTCGCGCGGGCAACGGGGCGCGCAGGGGCACGGCTGGAGCCGAGGAGCCACACACGGCCGGCGGCGAACTACGCGCGTCCAACATCAGGCTCGGGTGGACTCGCCTCGCCACGCGCATCCGTCACTGCCCTCAAGGTCGGCCACACGTTGACGCTCGCGCAGGCCACGCCTGCTGAGCCACCGTCGTAGACCTGTTTTTGGATAAGATGGAGGTAGAGGAAGATAACAAGATGAGGAGGAAGACGGTGACTAGGTCACTTACGGCTTGGCCCCACCGGCTAGAGAAAGAAGGGTATTCTAGACATCGTCACTGATCGGACCCGCATATTAGGGCTATCAAACAATGAAAACCTAACAGAAGATGAACAGAATGACGTGGAATGTAAAAAAAAAAGTTTAACGTCGTAATAACAGAGTGCGCTCAAATTTTTAGTGGCCTGTGGATCTATAGCGTCTTTCGTAATGGCAAGCATATAAAAGTCTCAAGCTTCTTCGTCTGCTCATCTGCTACCTCCACCACACAGCTTCCGCTTCTCAAAGGTTTCCAGTTTATGCCTGAGCCCGCCTAAAATGCTGAAGCTCCCTCGGCAGGCACAGCAGTCGGTGTTCATGTAGCTCCCTCCAGCTCCGCGAGGCCGGCGCTACAAGAACACCGACCGCTGCGGGTTGACGACAATATAGCGCAGCGGGTTGGTCACCTCGCCGCCGCCGGCATGCTTCACGAACTCGGCGGGCGTGAGGAAGCTGCCGTGGCAGACGCACACGATCCGCACTTCCTCCCCCTTCCTGTACTTGTACAGGAACCCGTCGGTCTTCCGGCCGCCGCCGCCGCCGGGGCCCTCCGCCACCTTGTACGACACCATCGGCATGTCCTCCGCCATGGTGTTCCGGAGGTCGCCCGTGCTCGCCCTCCGCATCGTCAGCGACCGCAGCGTGCGCAGCGGCGGCGCCGCCGGAGGCTGCTGCTCGTGGCAGGCCGCGCCGCCGTCTGACGGCGGCCTTCCTCCGGCGGTTGTTGCCTCCTTCGGGACATGGGAGCTGCTCTGCCCGACGCTCACGCCGTCCGACGACCTGGGGGCGGCCGCCGGGCTACTCGCCTCTGCACGGCGTTCCGCCAATCCTGCGTCAACAACAGAGGCACAGCATTTCAGATTTTCAGATTCCAGTGACTGAATTAGCGGTTAGCACTGATGAGGAAAACTCTGACATGCATGTGTTAGGATCTCTTTGGCAGGGCTTTTCTCGGCTCCGGCTTCTTTAGAGGAGCCATGCTTAAATGTTTTTTTTGGAAGAACCGTTTTTCAGTAAAAAATAGAGGAGCCCCTCAGGAGGAGGGGCCATGCCAAACAGGTCCTTAATGTTTCATCAATAACATATGTGAAGTTCCATCGCACTGAACTGAACTTTTTGCCGATGGACAATGCATGGATAAAGTAGACCATACACAGCAGCCCAGACAATGATTAGTCCCATAATCAATCTTAATAATGCTACCTAATGACTCTGCTGCCTATCATTGTACTGTATGCAGATTGAGCTATATCTGGTCTACTAGCATCCAGCCCTGGTGTAAGCATCATGCACTGTAAACTACGATGGTGCTGTGCGTGCACATCAAAGAATCCTGAAACTGACAGCAATCGAAGCAAACACATGGTACTACAAGCAAGCAGGACCTGATGTCTCCACTCATCACGCATGCATCTTTGTCAAAGATAGTTCTGCATTGCGACTGCACAAGCCAATGTTTCCAACAATTTTCCCAAACTGATGGAACAAGACGACTAGGACATGGCAAGGAAAATTCCACCGATGCCAAGATCAGGCCTATGCGTGTCGGTGTCGCAAATCCAAAATCAGTGAACATGTCATCGTCAGAATATGCAGCAACCGAAACCACAAAGATCCGTGTGTTGATGAAACCTGATGCACCTAGATCTCTCTGCCCTGAATCTCGGGATATTTAACTATTTGCCACTCTTCGCTTGCTCGCATACGATCTTGGATTATAAGATAGAACAGTATTTTTCTTTTACACCAAACCAACCAACAGTAAATAATTTATGATCGTTTACGACGAAACGAACAGATTATAGAAGCCAGAGTATCCGATTGCCAGTTTTACACTGCTAACTACACATTTACCACCGTCACGTTGCGTTCTTGCCATTTTTACTGATATGGCAGGAAAGATCAGCGCGCCACCGTGGATGCGAGTGAGATCCGGTCGAAGAGACATGCAAAAAGTCAATTCTGCCCCTGCTTATTTCAAACAAAACAACACGTCGACCCACTCCACCCTTTTCTATCTCACCGACATGTGGGCCCCTATGTCATCTTCGACCTCCGTCCTGCACCAGGCACGTTCATCGCCTCCGTCCAAAGTTGGTGAACGCCTCGTCCTCGAACCATCGAACCTCCAGTGCTCCGTTGCCTCCGGGTCAACGACCGTCCACATCCAGAGCGAAGTGGCCGCGGAGGGCGACGCCGCCAGCGCATCTCGGCAAGGACGCTACTTTCGGGGCCGGGGACACGGTGTGGAGCCCGCGCCGGCACGCGCGTCCGGCGGCGGCGGCAGCGAAGCCCGCGGCGCCGCAGACGCAGCAGACGCTGTGCCCCGAGAGCGCGAGGTACGTGTGCGCGTTCGAGATCTTCTTCCTGTTGCTCCACTGCGGCGTCGTATCGTGCGCGTGCACGAAGTCAGTGGCCTCGGCCGCGGCCAGGAACCTTGGTCCTTGCTCGACTGCGGATTGGCAATCACGCACTCCATGCTGTCGACCAGAAAAGGAATCGTCCAGGTCACCGAAGCAGCAAATCACGACCATCAAGCGCTCATCCCAATTCCTATTCCTAGCACGTGATGAGCAAAGCAGCACGATGACATGATCGACACTTCGACAGAGTTGTCGATCGAGAGCCGCACGGACATATGAGGACGAGGACGAGGACGAGGAGGGAGTGTCGGCGGCCGGCGCGGGGCCGTTGCAGCTCGGCGTCACGGGCCCACGCCCACGCCTGCTCCAGCTTCGCCAGCGCCTCCGCCAGGTGCGTCCGCGCCGCCGCCAGCTGTGCGTCGACCACCGCCTCCCACCCTGCTCGGCTCGCATCCGCCGGCCGCCTCCCCTCGCACATCCCAGGGTGTCGCGTACGACCCAGCGTACGACCGCGGCCAGGGCGGGCAAACCAACATGCCGAGGAAGATGAACAGTGCCAAGATGCTCGCACGGTTGTTGTGTTCTTGGAAAGAAGCGGGGGCACAATGGTCTTTTCCCATCCAGCTGCGCCAGGGACGGTCACCTTTCTACGGTGGCACGCTGATCTGTCGTGTCATATCAGTAAAAATAGCAAGAGTGTAATGCGACTACTTTTTTTTATGGTAAATATGTAGTTAGCGTTATAACTGGCAATCGGATATGTGGCTTTCGTAAGAGTGGCTAATAGTTAAATATCCTCTGAATCTCCTACCCAACGGAATCCAACCCAACCCAGCAAAATCTGTTCATGCACCGTCAAGAACAAGCAACCAACACAACGGAATGAATGAGATGGATAAGCGCAATAAAACAGTGGAGATTATCACCTTGCTGCGGCCGGCTTGGCGTTGGCGAACCCGCCGTCATCAAGGCGGCGACGGTACGGCGGAGCTGGAAGCCGCTGGGGACCGTGTGCTCAAGGCCATCGTCGCGGCCGGCGGTACCACCACCGGGCGCCGGAACTGGCCTTCCCGAGTTCATGGAGTTCCGGCGCTCGAGACGCTTGCGCTTGGCCTCGAGGCGTCGCTGGCTCTGCATCGCCCGGCGGCGGAGCCGGTCCTCCATGTACTCGGTGGGGAGGGAGGAGGTGCGGAGCAGCTGGTCCGGCGGAGGCGCGGTGGCGGCGGCGGCGGCGTCCTGCGCCCCCCCGCAGCTGGTGGCAGGCAAGGAGCAGATCGAGGCGATGGAGGACGAGCGCAGGAGCCGCGGCGGCTGCTTCCCGTCCTGCGACGGGTTGGCGCCGAGGGACAGGCCGAGGCTGAGCTCGATGTCGTCCGACTCCCCGCCGGCCCCTGCGGCGGCGCCACCCGCAGGCGCTTGCCCTCCATCCCGGCCGAACCCGCCCAGGAAATCCCTAGAAGCCATGGGTTTGCGCCGGAGACCGCTTCTTCCCACGGATTCCCTGAGGAAGAACGCTTCTCAATGACCAAAAATTCAGCTACAGAGAACACACCAACGAACGATTACGTTCTTCGGCTCGGTGAGCACCAAACAGCACCGGATTTCTCAGCTAAGAAAAGAGAAAGTAAAAAATAAAAATCTCCCCACGACGCGAACTCCCCCGTCATCACAGAATTCAGGCTCTACATGCCCCAAGCGCCATAGCATTGCAGCGCCCAAGAAAACCAAGAATTCGGTGTCCTCTGCTCCAAATCTCACGTCTGAAACCGAGACCAAGAGCAGAACACCGCAGCAGAGGAAAGCCGAATTCGAGGACTAGGAGAAGGAGAGAGCAGAACTGGACTAGCTAGGAGAGAGCAGAGCAGAGGCGACCTTCGTGCCTCTCTAATCTGCTTACAGCTTGCTCTTGCGCCCCCCGCTTAAGAAAAAGGAGGGTTTTCGCAGATATTTTTTCCGGCATAAATGGGAGCGGAAAATTGGTTTTTGTACGGGGGAACTAGTCGGATGGGACTACGAGCGCACGGCGGCCGGCCACGTGTCGGACAACGCGGACACGTGTTGGTACCGCGACGAGCCGAGCCGAGGCCATGGGCTGCGCGGCTCGGCTTCGGCCTGCTGCGGTGGAGGGCGCTTTGGCGTTTTTTTTCTTTTTTTGATAAAGAGCAAATTTATTAGCAGCAGTGTGCTGCAATAAGGGTGATTGAGTCACCAGTTACAGATTGCAAAGCCGTCATCAAGGGACAGACGTTTACATGATATGCATTGGTACAAGTAATCTGCATTTGAGAACTAGTTGTGCTCAAATGATTGAATGCCTGGGTCGCTAGGATATGAGCCGTAGTGTTGAGCCTTCTATGGATCTTGAAAATCCTTGTGTTGTTCCTTGAGGAATAATTGATGAAGGCCTGTGTGAAGCGCTTGATCTCCCAGAGCGTTGATCATTGCCATTGAAGAATGTCACGACTGTTGGTTGTCCGACAAAAATATCGGGCAATGTATGCCTAGTGGTAAGGCAATTTTAGCTGCACATGCCAAGGTCGTAGCTTCAGCCATTAACACCGAGGTTGAGTCTTTGAGTATGGCCTTTCATATACATGGTTGTTGTCATGTTTGGTTGAGTGTTAACAAAGAACACTCCCAATTCCCAAATCAGCTCTTCTTGGAACCTGCATTAACGAGTTTGGCATGGTAGACGCGTCCGTATAGCACCTCGCGCCAGGTAGAAGTGCCGGATGCGTCACAATAAAAAGAGGCGAGCTTGGTAAGCTCGATGCCGATGCAGCATGTTCGTTTGCTCGTAAACGATCGTAAATTTCGATAAATTTTCAAATGAAAGCGAGCTTTTTTCTCACCAAACCAAACCAAATGATGGTTGAGATAATCCACGATATGCCGATGCCGATGGTTGATGGTGTTCAAGTGATGCTCTTGTTCCCCTTTCATTCATTGTACCTGCAGATGAAAATTTGTTACCGTGATTGTGTAGCCATGTGCTCTCTTGTTGTGGGGCGCTTTGGCGTTGGACCCAACAAGTTCGAGCTACGGCCAATCGGCATTGCAAAATATTAGGATTTTTTATAAAAAAAAATCAGGCGCATAGTGCTGAATGAGGCAAAAACATAAAAGAAATTTTTCAATACTGCTAGATGTGGGGAAAAATGCGAGCTAAATGAGGAAAATTAAGGCAGATTAAACCTGACTTGTGAGGAAAATTGTTTCTCTTTTTTATTGTCAAAATCAGGTATTGCTCGAGCTTTCTAAACCAAACAACGGTAAAATTGTTGTTGTTTCTTTGTGGTTGATTTTTTTGTGATTGAGAACTGTTCTTGCTCTAAGAATCAGCACTTCCTTGCAGTCATTCACGACTACGGGCTTCCCCAGTCCTAACCATTAAGGATTGGACAGAGGGACAACTGTAGGTGCCAACAATCGTTGAATAAGAAGAAACAACGGTTGAAATAAACCCTTGAACATTTTAGGAAAATATACACAAATGATTGGGTCATAAAATACAAAGAGTTAGAAAAATTGTTTTGATTGCATGGTATTAAAAAAATACCACATGAAAGTAGGGGAAGTGTTAAAAAAATTCACCATAAGTTCATAACCTTTGGAAGTAGGGGAACGAACACATAACCCCAAGTAAAAGTACAAAAAACATTATGACGACATAGTGGTATGAAGATGAGGAAGGATATGGCGAAGTTTGCTTGAAATCTCAGGAGAAGCCAATGACGAAGGAGCCAAACCTAATATAGCAATTTTTACTATTTATTTTGCCCACATAATACTTTGAAATCACTTGTTTTTATTAATAAATCATTTAAATGCAGAGGTGACTATAGCTTCTTTTGGTCCCATTGAAGCTCCGCCACTAATGAGAGGAAGACGGGTGGCTAGGTCTATAAATTGAAATCTATGTGAAAAACTAGAATTATCATTACATTAATCTTAGTTTTACTTTCTCACATTTTTATATCCGTACAACATTAACATACTAATACACACGAATTACGAGCATCATGGCTCATAGTATACTTTCCTTTTGAACTCTGGGACTTTCATTACTTGTTAGCTGAGGAATCAGCAAACACAATTACATTAACAATCGAGGGAGCAGAGTTGCTAATTATCTCTTCCCCTTCAACACACATACCCCAGATCCGTCAACACATGGGCGGCTGCATTACAAGCAGCACTCTTCAAAATACTCGTACACCATTGTTGTCTTTATCTATAACATTTATATGTAAATATTTTTGGTCCTTCATTCATATTACTCGAGCGCTCAAAAGCATCCTTGAACTTTTAAAATGGTAAGAATCTGTCATTTATGACCATTATTCCTCAATTTAAACAAACACCTCCCAACAAATACTCCTATATTTGTAAAGAAAATGCATTTTGGCTCAAATTTCATCCATAAATTTATCAAAGTGCCCCTTAACTTTTATTTTTCACTCAATTTTGTCTATTCAAAAAGACGGCTCTCCGGGACCACGTAGCGGCATCCATAAATTATCAAAATTATAGATCTGCAAGGTTTTCCATGTATTCTTAAAGAATAAATAGCTGTTCATGCCGCGCCTAATTGGGTCCTATAAATATCATTTAGTCGGATATATGCAAATGCGACACGTCTAAGGCATCCGCTTTTAATAATAGCAGGAAATTATTAATGGTCACGAAAAGAGTTTTGTGGCATGAATACTATTTTTCGCTCAATCGCTAGCCGCGGGAGCCCGCTATGTGAGCCCCACGACAGCTCACTGCCCCGAATGTAGGCCAACTTGCCGGGTTGAAAGGCAAAAGTTTAAAGAACGCGACGCTTTGATACGCCTAAATGAAATTGAGCTAAAATGCAAAGTTTGAGAACCCGCGGGTCATCTTCATTGGGTAGATGAAATTTGGTGTGGCTGGTAGAGTGGCGAACGGGCCTGCATGGATCCCCAGTTTACAAAGCTTAGTTCGCGTTGCATGACACGCGGGTCCGGATCAAAAGGCCCGCAGATCGGTGGGTGATATGTAAATATTCGTTGTGGATTCGCATTGCCGCGCTGGCCTGCTGGAAACAACAGGCAAATAGTAATAGTAAGAAACCGTCATTATGACCATTATTCCCCTTGGGCCCGCGGCGTGCCTCCCAACAAATACTTGGTATATTTGTGAAGAAAATGAGACGCCTGCGGCTGGAGTGGGACCAGTCACCTGTTTGGGGGTGCATTGACCCCCTGGGGCGCCGTGTTTGGTGTCTGCTGCTCGGCGCGGGGAGAACGGACCCAGCTAGGAGACCGGCTGTCCCCGGGACCACACCCGCGGAACAAGTGGAGGCTAGGTAGCCGGTTGTGGGCTGCAAGGCCATGGAGCAAGGCACCCAACGAAACATCTGCAACATGCTGCGCAGCATTGGACGGGGTGTGACTGGTTGTGAAGGTCATCGCCCATTATCATCAGCACCCTGAGACGTCTCTCAAGCATCCGCTTTGTTAGCTGCAACTTATGATGGGAGGGGGACCAGGGGTACGTGTGTCCGCAATTTTGCCGCAAAATTCTATCCTATAACCACGTGCTACCTTGGTCCCTAAGATTGCAATCCGTAGGTTTAGCCCCATCAACATTTGCTTTAACTAAATGCCCCGATGATAGCCAACTATTTGTAACTTCAAATCGCCAGGCAGGCCCTCGCGCGCTACGCCCCATCCACGCCTTTTCAATTTTGTCAAGGACGCGCCTTGGAACATAGATTAAGTTGTCATCTAGGAACTCATTCTACCTCATCTATATTGCAATTAGTTTGAACAGCAATGAAAATGTGGCTGGTTGGTATATAGTGCGGCCCTGCTGCGGCTATGGATCCCTAGTCTTTGTTTCGGCTCGTTCGCGTTGCATGACACGCGGGTCCGCGGCATCTCCGGGCCCGCAGATCGGTGGGTGAGATGAATGAATGGCGGTGCGTCTGGGAGTTGCCGCGCTGGCCTGCTGGAGAACAACAGGAGATGGAGGCCACGTCTAGACGCCTCGTTCGCGTTGCATGACACGCGGGCCCGCGGCGTGCTGGCCCCGCAAGTTGGTGGGCGGTGCTGTCGCGACGCCTGCGGCTGGAGTGGGACACGTCACTCCGGGTGGGGGTGACGGAGACGTACTGGGGCGCCGTGTCCAGGTGTCGGGCTGCGGCGGCGCGGGGAAGAACGGACGGCAGCTATGGAGCCCGGCTGTCCCCGGAGTGTGGGACCCGCGGAACAAGTGGACGGCAGGTAGTATGGTTGTGGGCCGACTGCCGTGGAGCCGCGGATCGCCTGCGGGACTGATGACAAATGCTTTGCTTGAGCAGCTGATTGCAGCATTGGACGTGTGAGTGTGACTGGTTGTGAAGGTCATCGCCCATTATCATCCACACCCTGAGACGATGGATCAAGTTTCTCTTTGTTATGATGGGAGGTAAAGAGTAGTAATTTTCCTAAATT